ATTCCCTGAAATTCGATAGTTAATAAAACAAGAGGCGATTAGGGGCGTCATTTGAAGGAGTTGAATGCCCCCTATGACGAAAAGTGTGGTCTTCTTTCGTAATAAGATAATATTCACCGGAACCAAACCTCTATTTGTTTAGAGATCGCTCGAGCAATTTGTTCGCCCCGAGGCGATAATTTAGCAAAATGCATCGTTGTTCATCTCAAAGGTAAATAGTGGATGGAACAGACGCAGGGATTGTGAGTGGAAAGTATGGGTAGAAAAATGCAAGCAAGCCGGAGAGATGTGCAGAAGGACTGGAAGCGTGAAATACAATACATTTGTGTGTTGTGAGTTATTATGATAATCGTCGAGATGCATCAGCATAAAATTGAATTAAATGGGTACATTTGATACTTCTCCCTTTTGGTCTTAACACAGTTGGGATGCTGAAGTATTGCAACCCTTTTGCACTTGATGAGAGAAATTGTGAAGAGAGTGAGTGAGAGAGAGTGGAGAGACTAGCAAAAACGATCAAGTATGTTGCAGATTTACTTGGTTGGATTTCATCCCCTACGAAGCATCCCTCGCCCTTCGCTGCCTCGGCATCCCAGCCTCTCGCCCTCTCTCTCTCTCCCTCTCTCTCGCTCAGTCTGAGCATAGCTTCCACCATATGTGGAATTTATAGTTGTGCGGTTTACACAACGATGAAATGTGAAATTTTAATCCCAACCAAAGGGTTTCTCTCTCGTCCGACTGTCCTCCCGCCCCATCTTCCGCCCCAGCGCCGTCCACAAAGTGTGTATCCTCCGCCTTTGTACGTAATACTATACAGTCCGGTGTGCAATGGTGAAAGTATCCACCCGGTTGCCACAAATCAATTATGTATAATCCAATTTGAGAAGTTGAGTCGCGCCCAATGTCCAACTATTTCCACATTTACACACATTTTCACACACAACCTACAATAAAGCCGACAAGCAGAAGGGGATCCCGACTCGGGCACACTAATAAAGCGCCGTCCACAGGGTGTCTTTAAGGCTCGGCTTTCTCTCTACCTGGGCGTCAGGACATCTTTAAATTTTGCATGCACAATGCCTAAGATTTCCTCTTTGTACTCTCGAAATACGCCAAACTTTCATCAAAATCCGCCCCATAAACTAAACATCGAAAGCCACATTCACACAGCTCGCTAATGCGATTTAACATCAATCAACTGCAATATCAATATCAATCATTACAGCGATAATGCACAAATTATTTTATGGCTTTTCCATGTTATTGATTGTACACGCGAAAAACACACCACTCATTAGGCCTCCGCATACATGAATATTCAAAGATGAGCAAATATATACTGCTAATAATGCAAATTACCTGGAGTTCAAATCAAATGGTTAAACTGGTTGCTAATGAAGAACCACATATATTTTCTAGTAAATGTTTGAAATTTGCCACAAAAATCAGCAGCCTGGTAATAACCAGAAAATTAACATGAGCTCTGCGCTGAAAGACAATTTTATCGCTTTGCGTTTTAATGCTGTACCGCGCGCGCGGTTTCCATTTTCGCACAAAAATCATGCGTGTGTCAACTATTGCGATACACTCTGTGATAAATATAAAATTTATAGAAAGAGAGATACGCGAGTAGTTTAATTCATCAACAATGCAACTCTCAATTAATCCTATTAAAATTATATCGCAATAATTGCTCACATCTCGTTATTGATGTTTTTCGCGCGCGCCGTGTATCAATTCTGATGCACAATGCCAGCGCGCGGGTCAAAATTGAATAAAACTACTTCAGCAGCAGCAGCAATAGTTTACAAATCATTCACGAAGAGACAATTTCCATGGGAATCCTCTCTTGTGCGAGTTGAGAAACATGACACACGACATGGACTAGAAATCGTGGTGAGAAAACCTTATGGATTATATTTACCCCCTGCATTTCAGACACTTTCGAGCGTCTTAAGTGGATTCCCGATAAAATGCTCAACTCGAGTTCGTTTTCCCTTCACAAGTACGGTCAAAATATTTGGATATGTTCGTCACACTTTCGCTGCCCTTGCCAAGGAATCATTCTCCACATAGCCTTGCGTCGTTCCGTGGGAGGGCTTGAGTATCCCGTAAAGGGACGTGAGTCAATATTAAATAATAAATTCAATTGATGGCTACTTTCGGGCATAACTCCACTCAATCGACTCTCGCTTGTCGCTGGCCACCCAATTGTTCCAACCCCGTGAATACACGGTGGAGGCATTTAAATAAATAATGGCCAAGAGTGCAGAAGGAGATGGAATGATGATGGTGCCGTGGCAGATTCACATAAATTCATATTGTATGTAGTTTTTTTCCTTCCATCTCACTGTATCATTCCACTTCAATTTCCCGTGTAATCCATCTTTCCCTTTGTTAACTCCTTTTTCCATCCCCGGCGCGCTCTTGTGCTCTCTTATGCGCCACAGCACACACAAGGGAAAATGTATGAATTTTCTATTGAATATTAATTTACGTGTGGTACGCGAAAGTTAGTGTTTTTCTGCCATCTCTCTCTGTGCCGTCACGAAAGGTCTATATTTATCTAGAATCGCAATAAATACGGCCATGAAGACAAACATTTGCGGGATGGTGGAAGAAAAACAAAAACTTTTCTCCATCATATTAAGTCGATATTCCTCGAAATTATGATGCTCTTTGATCAACAAACCGTTTATCAAAAGAATCGATTGAATTTGATTTTATTCCTTGCTTCTTGTCTCGCTTCTCGCCATTTTTTTCTCCTTCTTCCTTTGGCTCTTCTTGTGCCACTTTTTTTGTGTGCGCCTGAGAGCTTTATGTGTTAGACTTTTTTATTGCAATATCAATTCATAATATATTTCCGGATTTGCTTTTTCGCGGATTCGATTGTAAAGAGAGACAGGAAAAAGGGGCTCGAAGACGATGGAACAAATAAAGAGTACATAAAATACGCGAATGAAGAGGAAAATGGTGAAATAAAGAGGCATGAGGAGAAAAATACGACGAATAATAGCTCCACATTCAGGACATTCACAATTTAGTCTTTCACCTTCTCAATCTAACCACCCTTTCTCTCTCGCCACCCCATTCATCCTTGGAGGTGGAGCGAAAGTGCTGAAAAGGAGTGAAACTGGGTGGAGTGAAAATGATGAAGAAAAGACCCGCTGAGGAGGAAGAAACGAAGGAAAATGTTTTATGAATTGTTATTTGAATAATTCTGGCAATTTTGACAGTTTTATCGTTTATTCGTGTGTGCGTATATAAAGCAATTGGAAAATTTGTGGTGGATTTATATTCTACTGTATTTACATTGTGTATGCTTTCCCGAAGAAGTTGAGGAAAAAAAAGAGGCTAAATTTATTTGTCTTTTATGGATATATACTTTGAGCAATAGTTTCTGGGAGGGAAATATTTTGCGTGCACCCTTGCAAGTATACATATAGACTCGCTAAGCGACTTCTCACAGTTACACTCCGTGGCGATATTTCACTTACAACACTTTCTTTTGCAGAAAAGTCCCTTTTGAAATTCAGTAAAAATCCTTTGCATGTTTACATTTTTTCCACAAAAAAACCATGCACATGTTCATGATATTACGATCAATGTATATTTGCGTAAAAAGAGTCATAAAACTTTACAAAACTAATAAATTTCGCACTTCACCCAAGAGTGAGTCGCCGTCATTTTATTGGCAAAGGGATTTTATAGCAACATTTTATGAACTGAAAACACCTTGTTTGGCCACTCACGATGCATCGTGAATCTACCTTTGTATCACTGTCTGTATAGACATCAACAGCAGACTGCCGAAATATTTGCCTGATGAGGAAAACTCCACTGATTGTATTTTAATTAATTTTCATCCGAATTTCATTTTCCTTTCAATTTCATTCTCTCTCTCTATCTATGCTCCAGACAACACTGAAAACACACGCCCCACTGGAAACTTTTGGCCCGCAACAGTGGCGTGAATAGAAAATGTGTGGGGGGATATGAAAATTACCAGTAAAATACCCACTATACAAGGATAGGAAGATACAAAATGATTCAATTTGCAATAAAAATTCCACAAGTGTGCAAAAGTTGCCACCATTTTGCCACCCCCGCGTCGTGTGTTTGGGAGAAAAGGCAAAATCGGGCGGATTCAGCGTCATTTTCTCTCTTCCACATAGAGCCCAATATTATTGTAAAAGGCGGCCTCGTACTCTCAACTTTATTAGATATTATTGTATTAAAACCGAAAATTAGACCTTCGCTGGGTGGTGAAATATAATTTAATGTAAGGGCAATATTGTGTGTGTGTTTCAAATAAAATCCAAGTACATTTCTCTCCCGTTTTTGCACACAGCAGAAAGTTTTTAAGCAACTGTTGGGCTCATTTTTGGCAGCCCGAAAGAGAAAAAAAAGTGCCCGCGATGGAAAAATTCTCCATGGCAGTGTGAAGCCATATGAAAATTTTCCATGGTTAAACTGCAATTTTTTCTCCTTCTCTCATTTTCCCAAACAGTGAATCTTCTCCGGGGGCCTGAATTTATAATAAACTCCCCCACTCCTTTAACCACCCACAAAATACTCTCTTTCGACGATGTTTCTTTTTTGTGTGTGAAAAGAATGGGGTATGAAAAAAGTGTGTTTTTTTTCGCCACCCCTTGAGGAGCTTGAGCGAGAGACTTCAAAACTCACTCCGCTGCTCGCCTCATTTTACCCCATTTTCGTGAATTTTATTTCAATACAGCCCTCTCGGCGTGTCTCCTCCCCTTTCCCGCTACATTATAGTGATCAAACTTCCTACACACCACTTTACACACTCACATGATATATTATTGAGTTACTGGAATGCCATTCGGGGTAAAAATGAGCGATATGACGGTGTAAAATGTGGCAAGAGTTAAATTGGATTTAATTAGGAAGGAGAATCATAAAATTTCATTCCCTTCTCCCAGCGTTTTTTTTTCCCTTTTGGTCATGGTGGTTAAAATAAAATGTAATTTATTTACTTTGTTCCGCGCGCTGTATGCAAATTCGCCTCGATGAGATTAACTTCTTCGCACACTGGATAAATGAGCACTGAAGCTGCGTTTTTTGTCACACAATAAATCGGCTGATTCAGCTGCAGGCTTAATCTCTGACCTGTGAACTGTTCTCCAGGATATCCTTCGCACTTCCTTCTCTGCCCCTTCACTGCACACCTCAACTCACGACACTCGGGGCCACCGTATGGTACCAAATTCGCCACCTCCCCACGCTCTCGAGGAGGCTCTGCGAGGGAAGTTCCTTCGCCAAATGAGTCCGACGTGGCGCAAAAAGGCTAAATCTCTCAGCAACAGCCCCCCGTAAAATATTCAATAATTCCTCCGCCAGCCGCCTCCACTGTTCCCAACAGATTTACAACTTACAATTTAAAGTACGCCGAGAGGAGGCGGTCGATTCAACCCCACTCTGTTGTGCACTGTTGCCCAGCAGTTTTGGGGGTGGCACTGCGAACAGGGCAGGCAAAGAGAGAGCTTCTCAAACACACACAACGCACTGGAATTGCCAAACGCGATGCACCCAACGAACACGACTGTCGACTTGAGACTGAAGTCACTCCGGCTCTCTGCGGCCGCACTCACCTCGCCATTCTCTCGCGCTCTCACGAGGATGAGGCTCTCGCCGCCGAAGAGCGAGAGAGAGAGAGGCTACGTTATCGCCTGGAAGTACAATATGGCGCGTCCCTTGCAAGAGTGCAGCATGGGAATAAGAGATTGGAAAGACTTTAATCTTAACATTGCTCTAAGTATGATTAGTGGCTTCTTTTAGTTAATTCTTAATTTGACTGCACACTGAATTATCGAGAATATCACTATAATTTACGGATTATCATTGTTGGTGATTCCTGAACGGAATCTTAGAGTTGAATTCAAGATTCGCGTGGCACTCTAAAGTGATGTTATAGCAATCTTTTGTGTGCAATGAAATGGCTAATTTACACTTGTTCAATAAATCGTTGCACATCCAGATCACGTGATCGTCACGTGAATAAATTCAAAAGATACAATATAACTCTTAACTTCTGAATCATTCAGAGAGTCATCTCCTGTTAAAATTCAATTCAAAAATTATACATTCATGTATTCATTTTGATAAGAGCACGCTATGTCTAATGGATAAATAAACCGCCAGCATGCCAGCCCTTGCGCGGCTAAAGAACTCTCAAAATTCTTCACGCCATTATGCTTTCACCGAGAGAATTTCAAGTCGAATTTTGTGTTTATTTTGTAAATTTCTCGATTGACTCCTCTTCAGCCAAGCCACTCACGAATTGACCTTACTCACTTGACCGGGGCAGAACAAAGCCATCAGCCAGCAAACAGAAGTGCGTAAAATGAGTCTGCAATATTGATTTGTGTGTACTTCAATGTGGTGGAAATCAATGCTCATATATACGCTTTCGGCTTTCCCTCGCGGGCGCTCTGTTAGACAAAAAGCAGTAATTATTGTGTGAAGAAATCCCACGGAAATTCAGGGGTTGGCTCTGAGTGGCACCCTTGCACGGGACGAGCGGTGTGTAGCCGAAGGGATGAAAGGAGTCCTGTGAGTGCGCGTGAGAAAGAGGCAGCGCAGCGCAGTGAGAGCCTACCTTTTGGCCCAAAACTACGTGTACCGAAGAGGCCGGGAATCCGTCGTCGGGAGAGAGAGTGTGCCAGAGAGTCCAGGAGGTTCTCCCACATGCGCGTCTCTGTGTGGGTGTCAAAGTTGCAAAAGCTCTCTCCCCCCTGAAGATATACAGCCGACACAAAGCAACAATTTGCAAATTTCCACATAAAGCACATAAGGCAAACTTTTTAATTATATCAAAATCTTCGGTGAAACTTTATTACTCTGCACAATTTATAGTCGCATTTTTTGCCTCTCCACCAAAGTCGCAGGCTCTCTCGCCCAGAGTCCTTGAGTGGATCTCGCACGGATATGTGTGGCGAAAAATTTCATATAAGACGCCACGGTGAATGAAGATGAAAGGGCCAGGGATATTTGTAAAGGAGGCGAACCCCTTGATCTACTTAAGCGCGCCGCACACAGCAAAATGCGGGACGGGGGAGGTGAAAAAAAGAGCTTCGATGTGGAGATAAATAGAAAACTTTATACTTGATGCCACAGAAAGCCACACGGTTTGAACTATATGGGGCTTTTGGGGAAGCAGCACAACTTTTGCCAAAGTCCAATGTGGAAAGCGTCTCTTGATCGCCGCTCTCTCTCTCTCTCTGTCTCTCTCACCCTGCCCTGTACTTTGTTATCTTTCGCACCACCCTTGTGGCTTTCTCGCATGGTCTTTTGTACCTTTTGCCACAAAAATTGATTTTACCTGGCTTTGATTTACTTTCTTCACCCCCGCCAAATGCCATTGATGGCCACCCTCTGCTCGAGGGCGGGCGAACAAAACCGCACACAGGTGAACAATCTTCCGTGCTGTGTGCGGTTTCGGCAGCATCAAAATGCAGCCCCCCGCGTGTGATTCCTCAGCGCCTGAAGAACGCACGGACAAAAGCGAGTGAGTGGCGAAATCCGAAAGGCACAAAAATGCTGATTGAGGGGTTCTTTTTTTTCTGCCCACCCAGCTGAGGAAGGGCTCCGCATTTTGCCAGTCGATTTGGCTCGAAAGTGGAGCCACAGATGCCACAACCGAAATGGGCCTGTCTGATGCCTTGCGTGCCAGTGTGGGTGAACTGCGAGGGGTGAATTGATTGGCCTCGGCGTTGCGATGACACAAACGCGATTGCAGAATTCAACAGCATGAAAGCTGTGGCCCCAAAAAAGTGTATTTAAGTCAAGCGATAGACTGAAATTTTCACAGCAAAGAACATGAATTGATTGGTAAAAGTTGTAAGAATTGATTAATGCCGCAATTAAAGAAAAAAAACCTGTTGATATATATGTATACAGTGTGCTATTTTTTTTACTACAATTTTCTGTTTTATTTCATGCCCATGATTTGAAAGAGTTAATTTAAAGTGATGATTTATTCACGGCTTTATCAATCATTTATTGTCTGTAACAATGTGAGAAAAAGTAGTTTCCAATTCACTGGATAATACTTCCGATAACGTGTCATTTCACCGGTTAGCCTCGCACCCTTATATATCAAAATGAGTTGTAATTAACATTTCGACAAAAAAAGCTCGAAGCAAGTTGAGTGGGTTGAAATGTAAGTTTAGAAAGGGTAAAAAAAGAAGGGTAATTTCTCTAATAGCACACTATTTGGGTCATTTTCAGGCCCTATCATTGATATAAAAGGTAGCAATTGATTGAGTTAAAAGGTGACATTAAAAATATTCACTCACATCCAATGAATAAATAATGCGAGGAGTGAAAATTCAAAAAGCAAAAATATGTTTGAGTTTCCCACTCGTCATTGATTATTGATGATGTTTGATTTCACCTATCGTTTGTCGAGGGTTAATATATTTTATTGCATTAATTATTCAATTGCCTCCCAATGTGGAAAATCACTCGATGCTGGGCGACAGAGTTTTAATGAAAGTGCTAAGTGATAGATTTTTGGCCATTAATGTCCGTGATGGACGACCGGAGGTGGGCCTGGAGGGTTGTGGCAGAGGTCGAACGCCATCTCCTTTGGCGTCTTAATTGAATACATCCTTGCACGTGTCCTTTATGGGCCCGTTGTACATACGCTCATAGTGCATTAGATGTTCTCTGCAAAATTCTGCACACACAAATGGACCCTTTCCCCATCCAGTCACTCACACACGGACAGGACTCTACAGGGCACAGGGTTGCCACCAAAGTGTGCAAAGGATATCTGTCCAAATTCCAAATCACCTACTGAAAACTGTGTTCAATCTGCGAGAAGAGTAGATATTTTAATCCTGACGTATCACTTGAAAATTCACCTTCTTAACAATTCAGGAGGCAAGATGAAAATTGATACAATTTTATTAGCAACCCTCGAGTGTTGGAAGAGAGCAGGGCGACGGCCTGATGTTTGATTACAGATGAGGATGAATGAGATGGTGTAAAATTCACAAGCCGAGCTCAGCGTGTTGAGTGAATTGGGCGATATGAAGGGAAAATGTGTATTTGGATGTTTCGGCGTCGGCGCTCTCAAATATTGATATTTTCATATAAACGCCCTGTGTTAAGTGCGCAAGTTGTCTCTCACATTTGTGGACAGCACGCGGTCATAGCCGGCTCTCGTTGCAAAAGTCAGGCTCTATTGTCCCTGCGACTGATTCCCGAAAGTCCTCAATATATTGGTCACACTTGGGACATTCTTCCGTCCCTCCACATCACCGCACAACTCCATTTTTGCCGAGCACTGCAGTGGCCGAGCTTTTCTCCCATTTTCACATTTCACCCCTTTGTCTGCGGCGCTGCCATTGTTCCCACAGCGTCCCCATTGGCACTCACCCTGATTGTTTCCCAGATGCAACCCCCAATTTCCAATCAAACGCCACTGAAGAAACCCACTGTGGACACAGGCAGTGAATCGCAGCGGAGAATCTCTCATTCATGTGAGCTCGACAAACACGCAAATGTCTATTTCGAGCGCATTTCATTCATCCTTTCTGCTCTATCAAGTTCATTAGGGAGTATGGAAGACTGTTTTATGGGTTTCGGCAAGAGCAAAAGAACCTCGAAGCGCTGTAATGAAAGCAGAGATAAGCGCAGAGTTTAGCATATGGAAGGTGGAATTCTTACACAACTTCTTGCAGGCGTCGTTAAGTTCTTTTTTGCACTCATTTGCGCGCCCGCCTTTCCATATGGGACAAATCTCGGCATAACATTATCGTGAGGAGCGAGAGAAGAACTAGTTCTTGCACATTCCGCGGGGAACAGTGTTAAAGAAAAAATTCCCTATGCAATGTTGAGTTTGTAGACAGAACGAGGAGTCTAGTAAGTTATTCAAAGAACTAGAAACAGTAGAAATTAATTTACTTTTCACGAAATATTATGAAGCTTTTTTTGTACTTCACATCATTTCAATGAAATAATAAATAATCCATTTCGTTTATTTTGAGTTTTATTCTTGGAATTGATATGAGCATAAAAGAAATTAAGAGACGAAATACGTTTGTTTTTAATTGAATTTCTCTGAAATTGATTTTCATTAAATTCTCCGAATTGCACTTGCAAAATGTATTTTCATAATTATTTTTCTTTTGTATTTTCGATCACCAATAAAGTATAATTCAATCAATCTACGCAAATGCCATGAATATTCACTGAAAGTTCTCACAAAATGAATCATTAGCATATGGCATAATCAATTAGAAATTTCTCTCAGTGCAATTTCTCGGGTGAAATTTAAGAAGTTCCAAATTCAAGTCGCGCACATTAGAAAGGACGACGAAAGCGATTCCATGACTTGGCGCTAAACTTTCACTGGATTTGATTAACCCACCCTGCCGGCCGACCCCCCTCCCTTCCCCCCCCTAGGGCTTCTGTGCACCATATGAGCGATCAAGGGAGCAGCGTATGCACCACACGAATGCTTCACGGGGGAATTGCAAGTGGCAGGCAGCGAACCCATAATTTAGGTTCATTACTTTCCAAGATGAATGTTGGTGGCACCTAAAACACTTTGGGTGGGTGTTTTCGGGTGAGGGTGGAGCGGGCAAGATGAAAAGCACTCGGCAGTCGTGGGTGTGGGTGTGTCTCCATCACATTTTCCATGTACATAATAATTATGAATTAATTTTATATTTAGATTAATACACATGAAGAGTGCGAGGGTGGGCGCCATCGCACTCCAATGTTTCATAGCATTTGCCACGAAGGGGACTGTCGCACGAGGACTTGGGGGATGGATTTCTGAAGAATTTTCGGGGGTCACACACAGAGTGAGAGGCATTTCGTCAGCTTGAGCTTCTGGTTTCCCGTTGAAATTCATACTCAGGAGTGAAAGTCATGGTGGTAACTTTCAGGAAAAGCTTCTCAAGTATCCCCTTTTAGCGGCCTCATTGCAAATTTCACCCCCATATTTTGGCTCTCTGTGATAAATTCATGCTGTGGCAAACACACAGTGTAAAGCAAAAATTCTCCACAATATGGAGCTGGGCTCTTTATCTTTACTGCAGAGGTAAAAATAAAGCCAGCCATGTTGGAGATAGGGATCAAAATTCCTCACAAATTAAATATTAACACGGACAAACAAGGAGTGGAAAGTTGAAATTTTGAGTGAAACCCCGTGAAAACAATTGTGACGCGCGGCTCCTCGTGTCGCGTCAGGCAGCAAATATAATATTGCTGAAAATTTCGGGAGGAATATACTCATAAATTACTCGTGTAATATTCATTTCACCCACTCCTCATCAGAGGGGGGCTCAAAGAGTGAAAATGAGCGAAAGAGAGCCACACAATGTGTTGCTAGTTAAACAATGCGCTCCAGTGTGAAAAACAGACGGCAGGGAATTTCATCAATTCATCACAAAACCCACATTTTCCGGTCTGGGAATGGGAAGGAACAGGATGACGCTCTGATGAGGAGGGTCGCCACCCTCGAGAGAAGCTCGGGCGGCAGGCCCACCCCACAGAAAATGAGGTGGCAAACTCCGGACCCACGCAGAAATATGTCTTTCTCCGCACAACTATAGGACAAAACTTATAATACACATCGAAAAGCGAAGCAAAAGAGGGGCGCTTAAATGGCGAAGGAAGTGTCTTGTGGTGGCGCAGAAGAAAGGTTTCTATTCTTTAAAAAAAAGCCCACGGGAGAGCCGACAAAGACGTATAAAATATAAATGGGCTAAGAAAAATTGTCCCATTAATTTTCATCACCACCCACTATACAAAGTAACATCCCCACCCCTCAAAACACACACACACACACCAAAATCCCACTAATGATAATGACTGAGAATGAGTGGAAGCGCAAAAAGTAGCGGAATGAGGTGTATTTTCGGTAGGAAAAATTGGTTTTTCCTCAGCGGTGTGGGTAATGTTGCGCGCCACCCCTAAAATACACTCTATTGCGCCACTGGATTTGTGTGAATGTGTGTAATTTATTATAAATTTGATTGAATGCACCCACAAGGCTTGCCTCCACATCATTCGCGATCTGGCGCCCCCTTTCACTTTGCTCTCACTCTTGTGCAACACCGAAGAGAGCAATGCTATGAACCATTGATTTTTCAATTAGGCGCAACCCTCCGTCAGGAGTATCTCTTCAGCATCACTGTATCAATAGAATGCCTTAAAGTGACATCTAAGCATTCGCAGAGAGCCGTTTAACACTGTGTGCTTTTATGAAAAGTGATAAGGATTATTTATAGTTTATTTTGTCATTGAATATCTGAGCATGAATTCAATGGATAAATCGTGGAAAAAGTTGAGGAAAAAGCATTCTAATGTTTAAAAAAAGGATCGAAGATTCAAAAAATGTCTTCACTCATTGCGCTTTCAATACACATTCTAGATCATTTATCATTGAGTATGAAGTGAAAAGTATTTAAAAATGTGTGCGAAAAAGCCTTGTAAACTTTATGAACATCAAAACTCATTGAGAATTCTTTGAATTATATTTATTGTGGTTTTTTTTCTGATATCCTCATCAAACTGCTTGAGATGAACGGTCAAGGCTGAATGCCTACAATGTCTTCCCGGTGCAGCAGTCTGCCGAGTCTCTCACCTCTTGTCCATCCCTGCAATGGCCAGTCAATATTCACACGCTGTGCACTATGGTTTTTCGTGAGCAGATTAATTATAATGGGCCTCTGTGCGTCGAAAAATAATATTTATAATTTCGAGGCATACTTACTGAACGCTCCCCGAGGGGATGGTGACAGAAGAAAATGTGCAGCGAGGGGAGAGTTGTGTATAATTATGATATACGCATAGCAATTTCCTGCCCTCCTCGAGGGCGCCGCACAGGGAATCCGGGCGCGCGTGTGGGGCGTGTGGGGGGTGGGGGGAGTGGAAAAATCACTTGGACGTTTTAAGGTAATAAAATTAATTGAGAAAATTCTACCAGATTAATCAAGCAAATTGAGATATCGCCTGAGCATGACAACATTCATTTTCACTTCATCCAAAAATTTTTTATTTCTCAAAAGTTCTTACAAGTCAATTTATTATAAAGAGATACAATATTTTGCTGCCTTGTCGCATAGTTTTTTTTTTCTTCTTTTTAGTGTTTATATTTGGGTACCAGAAACAGTACAGCATGCTGGGTTATTATTACAATTAGTTATTTTCTACAACCTCTATACTTTGCACTAAAATAATGCGTCTTTTTCTATTAATTCTATACCGCCACAAATTCGCACTACAACTCTTTCTTTTTTGTATTCGTAGAGCTTTTGGGCAAATTGTTCGCTTTTTCTTGCAATAAACAAAAAGAAAACTCTCTCTCTCTCTCCCTCTCTCTCTCACTCCATTAAATGACATCGAGAAAACACTGAAAGTTTTATTATCCATCAAAGTTCTGCTGTGTTATATTCATAGGAGTGACGCCTCTCCTCATCCATTCAATCACTTCCTTTTCTCTCTCTCTCTCTTCACCTCCTCCTCCTCAACTGTTAATATTGATTTGAAATAATGGAAAAAATTTCACTAATTCTATGCAAAGTATAGCTTGTATTTCACCTACATTTCTCATCATCCCCCATCAAAAAATCCCATCCACAACCTTCAATCATGTGAGAGAATATGAGATGGAAAAAATCTTGTGAGAAAAACAACTTTTACCGCCACACAGTTATACAAAACTTTTCTTTGCCAACTCCTTGGTGTGCGCCTCACCTCAAATTATATAAATTAATTATCATCAGAAGTCAGACCACAAATTGATGATTATTTTTTCTCCTGCGTCTCTTTTTCCACTTCGCCTTCTCTGTCTCTCTCTCACTCTTCTCTGCCTATCTTCCAATTCATTTAGTCACGTTAGATTATTATTTTAGCAGGAGAAAAATACACACATACACAAAAAAAGTTCTTTAATGCGCATCCGGATTCTTTCGCATCACCTCAACATTCATTCACACGGGGTTTATCATAAGAACTTCCAATACTTTTCACACACAAAAAATACACATATCTTTGTCAGTATAAAAAATAATACTTTCTTGTTGATAAAAAGATAAAATACAATAATTGGAAAAATATTTTTCATAAACATCATCAATAGAAAAAAAACCATTATAAAATATAGTTTGTTTTGCTGCTTCTTAAAACATGTCAAAGATAAATAACTTAAAACTTTTCATAAACCTGATGATTTTTTTTTATAATTACTTTTGAGATTCCTGGTAATTTTTCCATTTTGCTCGTCCTTAAATTAAGTAGGAACATAAAATACTATAAAAGCAACACAAAATTTCAGCTCACTGATAAACCCCATTAATTGATGTTTATCTGAGATTTGGTTTGCAATTCACGCTTCGCATGGCAAAAAAAAAATTGGCCAAAAGTCTTCTCATTCCTCCTTCCTCCTCCACTAAAGTTGTCTTTCTCTCCTGTATTTCACAATATGAATTACACACACACACTACGTACATAAATAACTCGATATATTATGTCATATTTCGCATATTGATTACTTTTTTTTGAGGATAAAACATACTTTTTTTTTTCTTTTCATATCTTTTAAATATTTTGAATGCTCTTGATAAGTTATAATATTTAAAGTTATTTATGTAGCGAGAGTTTCTCTGTAAATATATTTCTTTTTTTCCATGATCATCTTGCTGCACGCAATTTTAAAAGCTGATAATTACACAGTGCCTCAACACTCTGATTATTATTTTTCTCCATTGCAAAAGGATTTTTAACACTACTAAAAGACCCTCATTTTTTTACTCTTCATTGATTTCTCCAGGAGCTCGTCGTCCTTTTTGTCGTTTTCGGCCAATTATAATTTACTTGTTTTTGTATACAATATTAACACAAGAGTCCTAACAGTGCGAGGATGACTTTTTTCCCAAGCCAGGAATTCGCTTGTGCCTCTCTCTCTCTCTCCACACCCAAAACCATTCTTTCCCTCACCCTTATTAACATGTATACATAATATGACATGAAAATTAATAGAGACCGTACAAATTAATTCTCCTTTTGCAATTTACACGCGAAAAACAAACAAATCTTCTCGCTCCCTTTCACACATTTGGTATAATTCACAGGACGTGAAAAAATCGGGAATTTAATCAGCAAAACATATCAAATGTACAATTTTCTTGTGAGAGACATTTTCATCTGTTTTGTTGTTTTTTTGTCGTGCACAAAAAGGAGAGACGCGTTATCTTGAGACATGTTGTCGTGCAATTTCTCTTCACTTCATAGCATTTTTTTTTTGGAAAAGTGTGTCTTAACAATAATCTTTAAAGAGCGCGCGCACTTACTTGAGACATTGAGTCCGACATATTTATAATTTTCCGCCATCAGGAACATTACTTCTTTGTCATGATCTTCAGATACTCCAGTGAATTTCGAGCTGCTGCGGTCTTTGCGTCATTCCGTGTCTTTCCAGCACCCTGACAAACGGCCACTGGCAGCGTGGACAGTTGCACAAGACACTGAAAGCAATCCGAATAGGTCTTCTCCTCAATCTCCACATAAGTCACATCGAATTGGTGCTCCGAGGCGATTTCTTGCAGAAATTGAACACAATTTATGTCCGGAGATGAGAGGCTGGCCGACTGAAAAACACAAAAGATGGGATGAAAAAAAGCAACCATTATTTTTCAATTCACACGACGACTTTCGACGCTTTTGCTCTTCCGCAATCAAAACTGCACTTTTTTTCTTTTCTTCTACGAAGAGGGAAATAAATGAACCACCTGTAGTTTGCTCAGTGCCTTTCCAAACGTCGCTTTGAGACTCTTATGAAATTGGGCCACTTTGAAGCTATGTTGATTCGTCAACGTTGGAATATGATTGTCTTTCAAGTCAGCATAGCGATTCAGTTTCTGATTGATCTACAAAAAAAAAAGAAGAAAAGAACACACAATTTTTTTTGGTATATTTCTCCAATTGAAAAAATTATCCATTTGTCTCTCTAAATTGCATTAAATGTATTAAAAAAAAGAACAAATCAACACAGAAGTTTGGCGATCTTTCGTGGCTTTAAATCATTTTTATTTGTTTTTAAACTCATAAATTGTGTGTTTCTTTTCTCTTTTTGCCACAAAACCACAAAAGACACAACATCAATTAGAGATTGAGAATGAAACCAACCAGAAAGATACCAAGCTATGCATTGTCAGTGAGTCTCTTTAGCTCTCGAATCTTGCGCAGGAGAGAATCCCAGAAAACCACTAATCTCACCAAGACTCACCTCCTCGTTCGCCTCCTCATTGATGATCTGGTACACCTCTCTCGTCTCCGGCGGACTCTCGTGCAGCCGCGTCCACATCTTGTGCGCCGCGATGCGCTTCGCGATCTTCTTGCTCTTGCCCTGCCCCACCTCGCGGTACTTCAGCACCGTGCACGCGATGGTGAACTGGCGCTCGTGCGGCAGCCCCACCTCCATCTCCGTCTCGTACGTCGGCGGTGGCCAGCGACGAGCCATGCACATCTCCTGGAGCCACCCGATAGGATTCCCCATGACCTTATCGTCGAAGCCACTGGGACCCAGCGACGTCTCGAGGCTGGTGGCCTCGGTCTGATCGCCGCCGTGCGATTGCCCAGTGAGCTTGTCGATGAGCGCCTTGGCGGCCGCGTGCTTGGCCTCCTTCTTCGAGCGTCCGGCACCCATCGCGTCCTTGTCGTTGAACGACACGCGATAGCGAAATGTGGGCTCGTGGATGGCACCCTCGATCTGCACCAGCTCATAGTTCGGAGTGATGCCGCGACGACTCAGCAGCTCCTGCAGAATCGACACGGGCGTCTTCATTGGCATGAACGATATTTCCTGCTGAAGATAAAGTGATAGACAGAGAGAGAGAGAGAGAATTCATGCTTTAGTCCTCTTGTCATTCAACTGAAGTCAATAGAATACAATCCAAGGAAGTATTGACGCAACATGAAATCATGATTCTAATTCAAGACGGACATTTTCTGCGCTTTGGAGCTTTGTGTGAATCTTGAAAATCTTTTTCTCTGATAAAATTGCAACCAAATCTCATTAAAAGAAAAATCGAAAAACCACTTAACATTCCCATTTAATTTACTGAAGATTAGTGATATTTTTCGCACAGAATTGTGCAATTTTTCTTCTCCGCTAAGCGATTTATCAATGATCAGATTCATTAATTTGTGAAAACAATGAAGCCAAATTGGCATTTTCCAGGCCAATTTACAGAACTTATCATGCACGATAAAACTACAATACTGTTTCTCTGGGCTATTTTTACGTTCACTGCACAAAGCAGTGACCTCAGGATTGACCTTCAACTCCCGCTCGGTGTCATGAAAAACTGCCCGTTGCGCGTCCGGACGTCAAATCTTCCAATTTGGTGACTTTTTTGGTTTGGATAAAAACCGCACTTACATATTTTCGACTTACATTCTTCAGCGCCTCTTCGATGCTGACGTTCTCCGTGGGAGTGGTGGATCGCTGGTTCCGCGAGAAGGTCTTCCCCTTGCGATGCTGCGGAAACGTGGGCATCTGATCCTCCGCGTGAACCGTCGAGCTGCCCGAGCTGTCGCTGATACTCAGGGCCTGCGATGTGTCGTCCGGTGAAATAGCCATTTCAGCCCTGCGGAGAAAATCACGCCAGAGTGCAAAATATTACCATCTCTTCATTTCTCGATTGATCTTAAGTATCTCTTCCAGACATTCTGCAGTACTTTCGGAGAAAAAGAGGTGGTAAATTGAGTATTTCTTCAGTTCTTTTTACTAAGAGAAATAATTCAATGCCGGGCCGCCATTGCAGAGGAAAAGATTTTCCACCAAAGATTTCCACAAGTTCCCTCAAGTATCACAGTTACTCACCGTTTCTTAACGAGATCAGCGAAAGAAGATTTCACTGGTCGTAGCGACAAAGTATTAAGTTTTTTAGTTAGATTCTTAACTCTTGTTCTTTTTGGATTTGGCATGACATGAATTTCAAGCCGCACAAAATTTTCCTCTTTCGCACCGCGACAAAAACTGACAACCACAATTCGCATCGTCCACTCACCAGAGGCGCTCGCAGCAGACAGGAGGAAAACACCTTCGCAGATGTTATGAAAATTGCATTTTCACGAGATTTTCTATAAATACATTGTTGGAAATGCTTTTTTTACGCAATTGATGGGATGAAGTGATCGTAGTAGTTTCGTGTGTAGTCTAGCATGAGGTCTTGCATAGCGGCTGGAACGTAATTTGGATTTCCCTGACCGCCTTCAATGGTTCCATTAGCAGTGTATCGCATAAAACTCGCCACCGTTGTTTCAGGCGGCAGAACAGCATTATCTTCGATCATGCAGCAGTCTTTGAGGACACAGCGTCGCCCAATCACCACGTTCTTTCCGATGTGAACATAGGAGCCTATTAAGGCGGCTGACACGACTGAGCCCTCGCCCACGAACACATGGTCGCCGATGTGAATGGGAAAGAAGGCAACACTGGAAGTAAAATGTGTGAAGTCAGTAAATAAAACGAATTAAACTTAAAGAATGCCAATAAACATCTACCCTTTGCTAAACTGCTTATATGGAGGCCGGATGACGGCATCTTTGCTAATTATGCAGTACCTTCCGGTCCGGACATTGGCCAAATCGCCACGGATGATCGCCCCGCTCTGGACAATCACCTTGCCATTCAAAACAATGTTCTGCGACCCACAGAGCACAGTCTGGCGGCTGACCTAAGGAAACAAGAAGCGTTTATGGGAAAAACGAGCAAATATGGGTCGCTCCTTTACCTTATTTCCAGATGCCTGTAAAGGGGAAGCAATTGTCAGAAATGAATAACCTCAACACTAATAAAGTTCTTGCTTACCGTCTCCACGTACTCTTCTTTGTTGTAAAATGTATCAGGGACCTCCATCGTGAGAAAATCGGAGAGAAAACACGGTGAAAAAGTTTGTTTTCACAAGGAGGCTGTCAAAAAACTGTGACTCAGCGACAACAGCGCCTCCATGTGACAGGGCACGGGAAAATATACATGTTCGAAAGTTTTTTCATCGATGTCGTATGCTTGTCTATGGACGCATAAGACAATTCTAAGAAAACCTTGAGATTTGTGATTTTTCATATTCTTTCTGAGTTTACTGCAATATGTTAAATGAAAATCGTGACCCAAATAATATTTTTTAGTAAATTTCATACTGGAGTAGTGAATAAAAGTAATTCTGCTGAAATAATACCGGAAAACATTCAAAACATTCTGGGACAAATACTTTATTGGGCGCGATCAGAAAGCGTCAAAATTTGAGCGCAACATGAGCCAAAGTGTTGATGCGGATATTTTTCACAAGTTTTCCCGTGGAAATTCAAACGTAATCGTTGTGCAAATACAGTGAAAAGGTTTCGAGACAAGTGTTTAGTTGAGGGAAATAGTAGAAAATGGCAGGTGGTGAGTGCTTTATGTCGCAATTGCAGTGAAATATGATACCGGTTTGAGGTTAACCCAACATTCTTCCAGCACTCTCTCCGGACGACATGTGGAGCCCCTTCAAGACGCTCTACCAGACTGTGGAGCAGCATCTGGCAAACCCTCAAGCGGAGGGAAATTTCGGTGATTTGGAAGCGGCGCTACAGAGACATCGGCAGAACTTCATTTCCCTGCTGAAAAATCCTCCGCGCGATGCCAAGAGTCGCGAGGATTTGCTGCGGGGAGTTTCTGAGGGAATCACACTTCCGGATGTTGGGCATATTGTGCTGTCCAAAGATCTGGTGGACGAGAGCATCATCATTTCGGATATGTTCGACCTGAATGAGTATTTCGCGCTGCAATTGCTGTGCACGGCACAGCAGCAGATGCCCAACAATCCGGGACTCACGAGGGGCCTTGTGGCTGTCCTCCTGTACTACGATGGCCGGAAGGCGCTGGTGTCCACGCTGAAGGAGCTCTTCCAGGCCAGAGTGGGTGTCTCCTGGTGTGCCGAGATCTCACCGGAACTGCTGCAACTTGTGACGCAGTACACGGACTTACTGGTGAACTATGACATCCTGCTAAAGATCCTGGACCTGTTGGAAATGCTTGATTTGTCCAAGGAGATAGAGAAATTGTCAGCAAACCGCGCTCTCGGATCTCCGAAGCACTATCGCCAGATTCTGGATCTGTTCGAAGACATCCGGATGATCTTGGCCACTTGTCTCTTCAATTGGTCCGCTCAGTGCGGATTGTCAGAGACAGTGACGCTCCGGCTGATTGATTATCTCGCGAAGTACGAGCTAAATGGTCCAAGAGGAGGAATAGACGACGTCACACTGACTCTGATGATGACTTTGCTCTACGCATTCGATCTCAGCGTGCTGCAGAAGCGTGAGGATGGCGAGGAGATCGTGAAGAATCTCCCGATAATCGCCAATGAGAACTACATTTCCACCGTCATGGACGTCCTCACGAATCGCTGGGAGTGTGAGGGTTTGCGAGCTGTGGCGCAGTTCTCTCTGGGTCTCGCCATGGCCACTCTTCGTCTGGCGCCGCAGAATCTCCAGCCGCACTCCGTGAGCGCCGTGGATCACGACGAAATGCTGGTGAATGAGGCAATCAAAGGCAAGGTGTTTGACTTCCTCTACCACGTCGTGCTGGAGAATGAGTTGTGCTTCAAGATGGAGTTCTTCATCAGGCGCTTCCACATCCTCGTCACGGACTTTGTGGAGTTGATGCACTCCAAGGTGACGGAATTGCGCGCCAGTGCCGATGACACGGCCAGAACTGTTCAGGGATACCAGGACAATGGCATTGAGCCACCGACTCAGATCAGCCGGGACTTTGAGATGCTTTTGCTGATTGTGGGCAAGCTGTACGCCAGCGATCAGCTGACATTGTGTCTCTGTCTGGAGTATTGGGGTCCCGTGGAGACAGGCAGTAACTATTTGCGCTCATCCTCACGATCGGTGTCACTGTTCAAGTTCGTGCGCCTCGCCGGTGAGCTTCTGCCGCCTCTCCTGTTCGTGCCCTACTTGAAGATGCTGGCCGGCCTGTCCAGCTGCGAACAGTCGGCGAGGAACACCTTCAATCTGCTGAAGCAGGGCTCGTCGATCTCCGGACGAACTGCCATCACGTGGGATCACTTCTTCAACTCCTTCACGCAGTACTACACGAACCTGAGGCAGGAGCAGAATCCCAGCATGGATACTGTGTACAGGAATCGCGCCCTGAATCGCAACATCAGTCCGCAGGAGATCATGGGACTTCAGGCGGTGCTGGAGCTGGTCAGAGCGGTGGCGGACAATGATGAGATGGCGAGGATCACCATTTGTGAGCAGAGCACTTGGTCGCCGCTGCAGATAATGGTGGGATTGGTGGGATGCAGTGTGATCATTCCGCTGAAGACGGACTTCATCAAGACTCTGGCTTCCCTGAGCAAGTCACGCGAGACGGCTCTGCAGCTGTGGAATTGCCTGGAAGTGTCACAGATCATTCACACAATTCCCTCCACGGCGCAATTCCACAATCAGGGCATTGAGACGGAGATTGAGCAGAATGAGAGTCGAAATGAAGTGTATCCACTCACTCAGGCCATCCTGGAGCTACTCTACACGCTCACCAAGACGGCGATCCCAAAGAATCTGGGCGCAGGCACGAGAAAGCCCGGTTTGGATCCGTACTTCACCTTTGTGGTGGACAAAGTGTTCCTCAGGTTCTTCAACAGGAACTACAAAGAGCCCGCTGAGCTGTGGGAAGTGGCTGAGCGATGTCTGAGGATTTTGGATCTCTTCCTGGAGACGTACGAAGTCAATCCGACGGACTTCACGCAGGAGACACGCAATGAGAATCCACCGCCGGGCTTTCACGTGATGGTGCAGATGAACACGAAGTCTGACACGCTGAAGCTGATCCTGTTCATTGTGGACAGAGTGGTGAATGAACTGGACAAGTATGCCAATATTCCGGGAAAGAAGGCGTTAGAGATGAGTGCTCTGCACTGTCTGAATATCATTGAGAGGAGTTTGGCGCTGCAAGAGCTCTTCTTCGATGCCCACTCCGTGGCCAATAGTTCACTGTTGCTGGCTGGAATCAACAAACTCCTGCTGGGCGTGAATGAGCGCACTGGGAAGCCTGATCACATGCTGAGGATCACGAAGTTTGCCACATACAGAATGTGGCTGCCGAAGCACACTCTCCTGGCCGTGAGAATCATCAGCAGAGTGTTGAGACAGCCCAATGTGAATGGTCATCTGTTGGGGATCTTCACAATGACAGAGAGTCTCAAGAATGAGATTCGCCATGGATTTGTGGAATGTCTGGAGAATGAGAGTGGCGGAGATACGGATGACAGAACGGTGGATCTGGAGATCAAGGAGGCCATCATGAATCTGTTGTCAGAGTGTCTTCCACAGTCGGCGCCCAATGTTGCTCACTATCTTCTGGGTTTTGACATCACGAAGGACATCAGAGCCACGCGTTTGCAGCAACCTGGTGTCATGGGACAGACGAGTATGTGTACGAAATCTCTGGTGAAGATCTTGGATGCCAATCTGGAGATGATCAAGGCCAGAATCACCACAGATGCGCTGCAGGAGAAATTAATTGAGACTGCGTATGGATTGCTGTATGCTTTGTGTCACAATCCAAAGACGTCGGAAGTCATCTTGCGCTTCCTGAGATCCTGTGGTGACTTCCTCTGTCGTCACTTATCAGCACTGCCCTTTCCCAATGTCCAGAGTCCGCAGGTGTTGAGTCAAATGACTGGACTTCTGAAGTCTGTGGCCATTGAGCTGAAGATCACGGCGGAGAACAATCAGGTGACGCTGTTCTCGCATCTGAGCAAGATTCTGCTGGGCCACAGCTTGAGTTCTCACCAGGAGTCAATGATGATGGACATGGCGTTGGTGACGAACGGCAATTCGTCGCCGCACGGCATAAGTGACTCGGAGCAGAGATTGCTGCTCGGACAGCTGTTTGAGTGTCTGGATTTCGAGGTGAAGACCATCGAGAAGCCTAAGTGGAATGTCTACGACAGTGCCCAGATCGCACTGCTGCTGCAGAACTGTGAGATCGCGGTGAGTGGCGTGGGAGCGAAGTTGATAGACATCAAGAAGCTGAATGACATCCTCAGGGATGACTTCAGCACGGTGCAGAGCACAATTGCCGCCGGCCAGAGACAGTCTGTGGTGCAGGAGATTGAGTCCATTTTGCTGTACGCGCTGCAGATCAACAGCCACAAGAAGGGAGCGGCGTGCACGGCGCGCTTTCTGGAGGCCTGGGGTCAGGTGACGGAGATTCTGTTCAGTGTGGCGCCAACACTGGCGCTCAGTGTAGACACGAAGCAGGGCCTGATCCTGGACATTCTGCAGATCATCCTGAAGAAGGTGGTGCATGTGGAAATTGTGGCCGAACTGGCGAATCTCTGCTCGTCCACAGTTCTTCTCCTCCTGGTCAATTTGAGACTTTGCTACATGATCACCGCCAAGGAGACGAGCAAGCAGACTGCCGTGCATTTCTCCCTGAAGACAAACACGCTGAACTACAAGTTCATCCTTGAGTCAATTGTGGAATGGATTATTGTGTCTGGCGTGGCGTCGCAGAAGCTGAGGATTAATCTGTATGCGTCTCTGCTGAACTTCATGCACATCATCAAGGGTGGCACGAAGAAGAAGGATGCTGAGCTGCTTGGAGAGCACTATGTCAGTCGTCTGGACAGGAGTGTGAGGCGTTTTGAGGATCAGCGAGCACAAGAGGATGAGGTGAACTACAATCAGATCACTTTTGATGTCTTCTCGACATGTGGCGACAAGCTGATTGACATTCTGTGCCATGATGGATCAGGAGGACACGATATTTGCCGGATGCTGGCACTCTCCTGCATCGACATGCTCCTGGACATGGACAGCATGAGCACGTGCATCCAATTCATCTCGCGCAGAGGATATTTGGCGCACATCATCGACAGCCTGATGAAGTCCGATGACCAGCTGTGTCACGTGCTGGAGACAATGCCGGACAACTTGAAGGCTCTGTACGTGTATGAGTCGAAGATGGCGATGCTCTCGCGCGTGGGATGTTCCTATGCTGGTGCTGAACTGCTGCTGGAGCACCAAATCCTGGGCGTGCTGTCGGGAATGCGAGTTCTTGATCTGCATCCGGACTTCCAGAATAGCGCCACAGTTGCCAATATGTTCTCCGCTCAGGCGGCTTTTGTGCCACCAATTGAGAAGCGCTATCAGCAAATTCTCCTGCCGGCTCTCAATGTGTGCGACGTGATTCTGTCCACACTCGGTCCGGAGAATAGATCCGTTGTGGCTCAGGTGGCGCACTTTCTCTTCTCACACGGTGACATGATTGAGTTTGTGCTGCGAGCGGGCACGCCTTTCCTCAGTTTGGGACTTCTGAATGAGCTGTCGGTGCTGACGGGACTCGTGGCCAGGACCGCCAGCAATGCTCTAGTCACCGAGGTGAATTCCAATCAAGATTTGGCGGCGCAATTGTATCGGCTGCAGAAGCAAATGATGACACTCTTCCCGCGCTTCATTCTCAGTGAATCTGTGCTGAAGAAGATCAATGAGTAAGAGAGAGAGTTGAAGACAAGGGAAATCTTTGCAGATGAAGCTAATTTTTGTTCTGTTCTTGCAGATGCCAATCCATGGAGGGCAGGAAGATCAAGCACATCCGACTGTTCCTGCAGATTACGGCCAATTTGACGCTTTACGCGAGAAATGCCATTTCCAATCATTCTGCCGATCATCGAGCGACGGGAATTCTTTTCTCGCCAAACATCAGCGAAGGCATGCAATCCTTCGATGGGCGCAACAACACGCTAGAAGTCTCACCAAATCTGGGAATTATCATAACGCAGCTCAAGTGTATCGTGCAGCATTACAGGCGAGAGAATGGCGTGTACAAGAATCTTCAGCAGCAATGGAATTCCATGACCACATTCGCTCTGGACAACAAAGGTAGGGAATTTCTGTGAATTTCCTGGCGTCAATTGCTGATCGATCATGTCATATTTCAGCCCTCCAGTACTACACTAACATGAAGGACAACATCAAGCAGAAGCAGGAGGAGTTGAAGCTCTGCATTTTCATTGCTGAACACTGTCTTTACCTCCTGTGGGCGCATCTGGATTTCTACATGTTGCGAGCTCTGCCTGTCGATACGCTGCAGATCAACAATAACTGGACGAGCGGGAGTGAAGGAATCGTCACAGCCTCGGAGGCGGGATGGAAGGTCACAGCGGAGAATATTGCAGGTCTCAAGAGGAGTCTCATATCCGTCCTCACGGAGGATTTCTGCAATCAAATCATCTTGATGGCTTCTGTGAGTAATCTTCAAGAGCGACAAGCTTATTTGGTCTAATTTTCTACTCTTCTCTTTTGTCTCTCCAGGAGCAATCATCCGCCGAGAAGACGTTCTCAGACGCCTTGCTGCGTCGCATTAAGCGACTCATTCAATTTGTTCCCGTGAAGTAATTCAATTTATATAAAAGTTGTTCTTTTTCAATAAACATTAATAAATTTCCGTGAATTTCAAATGTCTCTTTCCTCCCACTGCCGCATGTGGCGCGCATGGCGATAAAAGGGTGTTTTCGAACACGCGGCCATTTCTTTCGAAAATGCCATGACGCATGCGAACTGCCATCGAAATCGAGGTACACCGGGGCGTTTTGTCTGCTATCATCCCAAATTTGTGCGGTTTTTCCCTGAAAATACTTGGTGAAAATGGAGAAGAAGAAGGAGCAGCTGTTGCTGATTGAGCCCCAGAATGAGTTAAAGTTTTATGGTGAGTGAATAAGTGTGTGGAAGAGGTATTTTGTGGCGCGTGAAAAATGCGTACCCACCAACGGAGCACTTCCATGACTTTTTTCCTCTTCCCCTGTGATTGTGTGACAAATATGCCATTTTGAATGGGGAACCTGCACGACGATGGGGCGCTTGGCGGGTCACTTGGGGTGCTGTGCGTGGCACTAGGGTGGAAATGGGAGCTGAAGCGGTGGATTTGCATCGGCTGTGCGGAAAGTTTCTGCAGCAGAAGAGCTGTCCAGCAAAGATGGCGCTTCCCCACCATCGATGACTATCAATTTTCCACTTATCATTGTTTTCCCTAATTCCAGGTGTTGAGTTGAGCCAACACCGTCACTCACACGTCCTCCGCGGCGTGCCATTATTCATTCCTCGAGACACTTGGTCGAAATTCGGGGCACGCGAGCGAGGAAGTGTGTGGGAATCTGTCCATAAGAGGCACAATGTTGGTTAATCGATTTATTGTACTTGTGCCAAAGTTAATTTTCCCACTCGCACGAATGGCCAAGTGATGCAACTCCACGGTCAAGTTGTGAGATCAACCTTCCCGGAGAAGAAGCACTGCCGTGTCTCGGCCCCCAAAGCTCAATGCTCTCTCTCTCCCGGTCTTTCTCTGGGCAAGGAAAAATTAAAAACAACATATTGCTAATGTCTGTTAATTTATTTATAGTTGTGAGTGCGCGAAACATTTGGTGCACCGCGTCTTAAAGACACACAATCGGCCCAAGCAATCGCGGACTTTTCGCACTTTTATCTCTCAAGCTCTCTCGCTTGTGGCTAATCGCCTTCTTCTCCTTGGTTCTTCTTGCAGGACCGTTTAACACACACGTGACGTCGAGGATGCGCCTAACAAATCCGACGGAGAAAGTGATTCTCTTCAAGATAAAGACAACGGCTCCTAAGAAATACTGTGTACGTCCCAATTGTGGCACTCTGAATGCGCGGGACTCCATCGAGATTAGCAGTGAGTATCCTTCCTCGAATTCACCGAATAATTATCGGCAAATATCAGCAGTTTCTTCATCTACTATTGCATTCGTGGAATCTCTTTTGTGCTGTGTCAATAAACAGTGCAAGATGCAGTGAAATGATGCCACGATAGATTTCAGAAGCTGACATCAGCAAATTCAGATTCAACAGCTCATTAATTCATTGATCAATCATAAATTTTGCTAAAATATTCACAATCAGCCAATGAAGAAGTCTTGCAATGAAATGTAAATTAATTGATAAGTTATCTTGAAGGAACCTTTGTCATCTTCCAGTCTGTTTTAAAGCCGTTTAATTGATTTTATCGGTCAAATTTTTCAATGTTTGCCGACATAATGCTATTTATAGTTCATGTCATGTTCTGATGTTGTTGTTAAAGAGGATTATGATTTGAAATGAAGACTTTTAACTTCTCTAGGTCTTAAGAAAAAGAGTTTTAAGCCTAATGCTTTGTGTTTCTCTTTTTCAGTTGTGCTGCAGCCACTAAATTATGATCCTTTTGAGAAGAATCGCCATAAATTCATGGTCCAGAGCGTTGTGGCGCCGCGTGGGGTTGAGGAGTTTGGGTCCATTGAGCAGATCTGGAAGGAGGTGAATCCTCAGGATCTGATGGATTCGAAGTTGAAGTGTGTGTTTGAGGCGGTGGCGGATAATCTGGCCGAGAGTGATCTGGCGTCCTCCAATGCCGTGACATCGACAAGGCAAGAGACACAGACATTCGCAGCAACGTCAGAAGGCGCATCTCCGTTTAAGCATGGCGCAAGTGGAGACGACAGCGTGAGTCCAACAACATTTTATATCTTATGTATTTGCCCAATCGATGATGTATGTGCATGAATTGTGGACATGGATGGAAGACACTCGGTGTCTTCGGGCTGTACTTGCCATCCCAATTACATACTGTTGGTGATAATGCATTGCATGAAATCCAATATTCACGCATTGGATAGCATTACACTTGACGTTGACGCTAATGCGGTGTGTGCGGAATTCTCTCTCTCTCTCTCTTTCTCTATTTCACGTTTTTATTCATACAAATGATGGGAAGATATGAAAAATTACCGAGTCATTCTTACTCGTGTGCATATTTAATAACTTGTGAATTTTGGAGTATTTCTCCTGAAATGTACTTTATTAGTATAGTGTGTGATGTGCGGTTGTGGGAGTTTCTTCTCTTGAGGGAGTGAATTGTGTGCCATTTATGCGCGTCACGAGTGTGTGTGTACATTGAGTGCCGGTCTTTTTTTTTTGATTGAAAAGAAAGACCACATGATTAATGAATCTCATTTATATTTTCACATTTTTGGTCATAATGAGAAAAAAGAGAGAAAATGATTTTTATACTGTTTATAGAGTGGAATCATATTTGAATATTTTATAGGGATGTTGAACCTTCTAGGCTCAAGCCTTAATCCCTTGGGTGATTTTGAGAGATAACGAGAGAGAGAGAGAGAGAATAGTTAAATAAAGTATGAGAATATAAATCTCTTTAACGTTAAATACTGAGAAGATTCGTATAAAACTTAGGACTTAATTAATGTTCATTAGAGAGCTACACAAGATAATCTTCATATTCTGAGAGAATTTACTTTTTGAAAACCTGAAATTCAATGCGCATAATATAGTAATTTATTCGACATTGTGATTAGTAAGAGTAGATCTTTAGATAATTTCATCCATTTTCTATCTATTCTGCAGTCTACTATTACGACAACTGACACGGCAAAGGCGGCCGCTGAGCTTCGACAACTGCGGGAAGACGAAAGTCAATTACGCCAGGAGAATCTAATGCTGAAGGTATGAGAACAACAATTGAGAGAGTTGCTCTGTGGCAAAATGAGAGTTATTTTGCTAATTGGGGGGCATTTATTTGTGCAATTGCAGGAACAAGTTCTCCGATTAAAGTTGGCCCTAGATGAGGTGGATGACAACTCGGCGAAAGGTGGCTCTAATGTGTGGAGTGGAGGAAATGCGCCGTCTTATCAGCCACAAAATGCTTATGCGCCACCAAACCTTCCTTTTCCCGCTTATTTAATCATTTCTCTCCTCGTGGGCATCTTATGTATTCTTTTCGGCAAGTTTGTGCTGTGAAGCAGCAATGGACAGACGTCGAGACCATAGAGGAACACAGAGATAAATCCGTATAAAAAAAAAAGAAATATTGATTAACGCGAAGAAAAGGTAAACAAAAAGATATGGTTTTGATTAAAAAAAAAAAAAGAAAAATTTCTGGTTGTAATGATTTAATAGAAGGAGAAAGCCATTTGTTTATTTTGTCACTTTTTTTGAGGAAAATGGGAGGAAAAGGAAGCAGTTTAATTTGAATTGAAAGTTGAAAAAAAAGAGAAAACCTTTATGAAAACGAAATATTTGAACACTTTCTTTTTGAGCATTACACGGTTTTTTTTGTGGGGGGAAAAACATGTATTTTTATGGATAAATTCGGATTGAAGAGGGGAGATTAAACTCATATAGTTATATTTGTAGAGCAAATAATCTGTTAAAGAAAAAGATAAACAATGAATGCACATTATTCCAGAAAGGGATGATTTTAACTGATTTTTTTTTAATATAACCATTATTAAATGTCTTTAATTGTTTATAAGGGTTTGTTCTGTATACTTTCCTTTGAAAATTTATATGCTTTGTAAGTCATTTAACTCTATATAATTTATTATGGGTAAATGTACGTCCCAAAAGAAAATCAGTTAAAATTTGTCTGTTAAACACTTATAAAGGATGAAGAAGAAGAAACTTTTGTGTAAATTGCTAAAAAGAGTTAAAAAAAAAACTATTCCTTGTGTTTCAGTGTTAATACAATTTTTTCTTTCTTTCTTTCCAACATTTTATCAATAAATAAAAGATATTAGCAAAAAAAAAAACATTGTAAATGCGGTGGCGTTTAGAGGCCTAACAGAAGATTGACATTCATTTCATGTTGATGGAAAATATCTTTAATCTAATTATATTAGAATCTTCTTGTGTGACAATGAAAAAAATTCTACGCTCAAAATATCTTCTTTTCTGGTTCTTATTTGCTTTTCATTTTGTTCTTTGAGGTAAATTGAAGAGGTGTAAGGAAATAATGTACAGATTTTAAGTGAGAAAGACGTCGAGAGAGAGAGCATTTAAATTGAGTAATAATATTGAATTGAAGAGAGGGTGAAGAAAGAGAGAGAGAGAGTCTAAAAAAGCCTATTTTTCGAATTATAGCTTACTTTATTCCTTTTCCGGTGTCATTAACAAAATGCTTTTCACAAATTCACATCACACACTTTTTGTCTCCCAATAGTTAAACAATTCCAATTCCCACAAAAATACTCTGTCTCATTGGTGTGTGCGTGATTGAAAAAAAAACAGCAAAAAGAAATACTATTTGAGAGATGTTTTAAGAAGTTAAATCACTACTCATTCCTTGCAAAAGAAAAATAATATACTTTTTCAATGTCCCATTTCTGCCCAGAATTGCCACCAAATCACACACACACACTCAAAGGAAAACACATAAAACACTAGTGAGGAAAAGTATTTCATGAATTATAGACGACACACATTTTGAGAGCCACTGCATGCATTGTGAGTACTTTGAAATCCTAAAATCCGCGCATGCAGAAACGCGCTGTAAAACTACTTGTAATAGTTTCTAACAATTTAATGAGATGAGAAGAGAGATAATGTATACTTATGTTGTATATGACATTTACAGGCAGCGATGGATGATGATGAGAGGGTGCAAAATATTCACACACATTTTACATAAGTAAGTAGCGATTAAACACTTGTGGATGAACCATACACATTTTGTGGGGCTGAAGCACAAAGAGAGAGAGAGAGAGAGAGAGAGCAGAAAAGAAAGAATTTGGGTAAAGAATTAACATCACAGAGATATTGTTAAAGACGACACATTTTTGGGCACATGAAAAAAAAACGTCACTTTGGTATGATTTTTCGAATGAATTTGTACTTTATAACAATGATAATCTGTAGATTTATGCTGTAAGAAAGAGCGACTTAAGTCGCGACGCGAGATGCTTTGCTTCAACTCTTGCGAGTTGAATTTTTAGCTACATTTTCAAGTTTATAACTGCGAAATGACAGCGAAAAAACATAACAAATTGATGTTTAATGCTCAAAAGTGTGTGAATCAATCACATTTCGTTTTAAACTAATGAAAAGTCACGTAAAATTGATTGAGAATTGTCCTCGAAACAGGGCTTAAGACACACACACAAGTGTTTAGTCGCTATGATGAAGAAGATGAAGAGAACTATAATGATGAACACAGCTTGTAAAAAATACAAAAAATGATGCATATAACTATAAGGTGAAAACAAACATTGATTAGTGACGAGATGAAGGAGGATTTATTCATTCTACCAAAACAACACTTAAAAAAAAAAATAAAATGAAGAGAAGAAAAAAAAACTTACAATAATTCTTGTGTAAACCGAATCAAGAGAACACAGATTTTGAATTCAAACATTTTAGAGAGAAAGAGAAAAAGAGAGAGATTGTTTTGCTATAGCAATCTCTACAAACTTATTGCAGAAGAAGAAAAAAAAAAGTAAGACATTAAAAACAAACAGAAAAAACATTGCATATATTCAGCAGAAAAAAGTAAGGAAGAGGAGAAAGATTACATTAAAAAAGAAGAAATGACAGAATAATGGTTACGATTATTATATTATCTAAAAAAAAAGAAGAAAAAAAATGAAAAATGTGTAGAAATATGTTACTTTAGAGTATAAAAAAAAGATATAAAATGATAATAAAATCTTGTGAAAAATGGATCAAATTAGCATATTGAGCGCGCGTGATAAATTGCCCGATAGATTGAAATTGCGCGATTTGTCTGTGATTGAATTTATGGTCAATTATGAGACTTGTGATATTTGATGGCATTGAAGAAGTTCGATTGATTGTTAATTGGCGTTTAGAGACATTGACTCTGATTCTCTCGCACGCTCGCGCCAGAGGTTGACAAATCTCTTGATAATTTCAACAGAGAATTTTCCATTCAATCCTGCGGTGTTTTTCCTCTACTGCTGTCTGAGGCCGGAACAAAGAGAGGAAATGCACAAAAACACGCAATTTCACTTGTTCGACGTGAGAAAATCATTGAGTGAGAAAAGATTACAAATTGCTTGAAGGCGATATTGAAATGATGCCTGGAATGGGTGGAAAACTGCTCTTTTTACTCCTTCATGCCATGATTTATGTCCACAAGTGACCAACAGTTGGCAAGAGTTCATCTTGGCACGCAAAACCATTTGTCTTCGCATCCTTCCGGTGAGGAACTCATCCGCGTTAAATCCACTTCCCGCCCCGCCGCCAGCGAGTGTTTGACTGCCTGCCAAGGCGCACGCGAGTGTATTCCGGATCGCCGGGTGGCGATCGGACGCGCACTTATCAGCCCCGTGAATTAATCAGTAGCTTTGAAAAAGGCCTGACAATGTGGTTGCGAGCGACAGTGTGGCAAAAACAGCGATCATAAAAATCGAGTCTATTTTTCGCGAGTGCGCTGAAGAGTTGCGATAAGAGTGAGATGTCCATAAAATTCAGCCAGGCCATTGATTTCATCAGAAGGGCGCAGAAGTCTGACGAGAAGCAACACTACAGAGAGGCAATTCTGCTCTATGAATCTGGCGTTCGTCACCTTCTGGACGCGCTCAAGCGTATGTCGATAAGATTTGCAATTAATCACTTGGTTTGGTGGTTAATCTGTGTTGTTGCAGATGAGATAAAGGGTGAAACAGCACGAGAGGCGATTGCAGAGAAGTGCCAAATCTATCGCGAACGAGCGGATGAATTGCGCCAGAGCATTGACGAGAGTGAAAGTGGCCGCATTGCCCAGACAACAGTGTGACAGTGGCAGTAAATCACGACTCGACACGCAAAACCTCCACACACAGCTGGAAAATGCACGAAAATGCTCTGTTTTGTACGCCTTGTGTGCTTTTTTGTAGATGAATGAAGAGAGAGATGAAATCAATGTTGATAACGGATTTTCACTTGAATTGGCTCAATTTTGCTCGCACGCTGTGTCTTGGCTAAGTTGTGTATGTTTCACGTGCTCAGTCATCAGAGGCGCTGATGATGGCTTGACAGTTCGTCTCTTCGCAAAAAAGTTTACATTTCCCGTGCAGAGGGAAGATTTTCTCTGGTATTTAGCGCATTTGGAGGGATTTTCCGATTAAAATACAATTGCTAATTGGTAGAGGACTGTCCAGAGATTGTGAATGCATAGGTGTATGGTGTGTTTAGTGTGAGGAAAGAGGGTAATTTGTGCATTATCTGATCGTCACAAAAGGGTACGTCATAGCACAGCCTCGAAGAAAAATTACTCATCGCTCGTAAACGAGCAATTTTTCTCACTCCAGAAGATTTTCACAGATAATGTGTGACACCTCTTGGCGAATGCAGCACCACTTAATTGGGACTGCAGACATTTTGCTCCAAATTCGCTGGATTTTTGCAGTGATCAGGGCATCGTTCAAGGACTCACAGAAAGGGGCTCCTTGACCTTGCTCGTAATGTTACTTCTAAGCACTGTAAATTGACGGGATATTTTACTTCCCGGAACAGAGAACCAATGGCAGCCGGAACGACTCTGCAGAAGGCTATTGATCTGGTGACCAAAGCCACGGAGGAGGACAAGAAGAAGAACTACGAGGAGGCCTTGAGACTCTATGAGCACGGTGTTGAGTACTTCCTGCACGCGATAAAATGTAAGAACCGCAGATGAACTCCCGGACGGATTCACGCGAATCTCTCTCTCTCTCTGTCTGATTGCAGATGAAGCCCAGGGAGACAAGGCGAAGGAGTCAATTCGTGCAAAGTGCATTCAGTATTTGGATCGAGCTGAGAAGCTGAAGGCGTACTTGAAGAAGGACAGCAAGAAGAAGCCAGTCAAGGATGGTGAGAGCTCCAAGTAAGTTATCACATCAGATCGGTGGCCAGAGGAAGATGGTGTTCTTCACGGTGTCGCTGTGCTTTTGCAGGGATGATAAGAAGAGTGGCGACAGCGATTCGGACTCCGATGATCCGGAAAAGAAGAAACTTCAGGCGAAACTGGAAGGCGCCATCGTGATTGAGAAGCCGCACGTGAAGTGGTCAGATGTGGCTGGATTGGATGGCGCTAAGGAGGCACTGAAGGAAGCCGTGATTCTCCCGATCAAATTTCCACATCTCTTCACCGGAAAGAGAATTCCATGGAAGGGAATTCTGCTCTTTGGCGTGAGTCATCATCAATTCATGGGTTTTTTTCTGAGCTATACTGAAATAGTTATAATTTAGCCACAAGAGAGAATCAATGGGCAATGAAGAAAACCAGTGTTTGTTCCTCTGCAGACGGCTCAATGAATGCCTCTTTTTCTCCTCTTGCAGCCGCCCGGGACGGGAAAGTCGTACTTGGCGAAGGCAGTGGCCACGGAGGCGAACAACTCGACATTCTTCTCCGTGTCGAGTTCGGATCTGGTGTCAAAGTGGCTGGGTGAGTCTGAGAAGCTGGTGAAGAATCTGTTTGAGTTGGCGCGCCAGCACAAGCCCAGCATCATCTTCATCGACGAGGTGGACTCGCTGTGCTCCTCGCGGTCGGACAACGAGAGTGAGAGTGCGCGACGCATCAAGACGGAGTTTCTGGTGCAGATGCAGGGCGTGGGCAATGACAATGATGGCATCCTCGTGCTGGGCGCCACGAATATTCCGTGGGTGCTGGATTCCGCCATTCGGCGGCGCTTCGAGAAGAGAATCTTCATTCCGCTGCCCGAGGAAGTGGCGCGTCTGGTCATGTTCAAGATCCATCTGGGCAACACATCTCACACGCTCACGGAGAGCAACCTCAAGGAGTTGGCGAAGAAGACGGAAGGGTGAGAATTGTCATTTCAACGTACTTTTACTGTTGAATTGAGGAATTCTTTGGCAAGATTGAAGCTAATTGACGGAATGGTTTTTTGTCTTTTAGATACTCCGGAGCGGATATTTCCATCATTGTGCGAGACGCCTTAATGCAGCCCGTGCGGAAAGTCCAGACGGCCACGCACTTCAAGCACATCAGTGGACCTTCGCCGACGGACAAGAAGACCATTGTGGACGATCTGCTGACGCCCTGCTCGCCGGGCGACGCGGGCGCCAAGGAGATGACTTGGGTCGACGTTCCGGGCGATAAACTCTACGAACCTCCAGTCACGATGGTGAGTCTTCTTGGCCTTCTATTCGTTTTCAATGGTGGTAATCTTGGAATTTCCTTTAATAGGGTGACATGCTGAAGTCCTTATCGATGACAAAACCAACAGTAAATGAGGAGGATATGAAGAAACTCGATAAGTTCACCGATGATTTCGGTCAGGAGGGGTAAAAAGAGATAAAAAAAAATTTATGAGAACTCAAGATGATAATAATTGGAGCATTTTTTCCACTAAAAAAAAAAGAAATTGATAAAACACCAATACGACACTGTTGCCTAAAATATTTTTTTAATGTTAGTGAAAAAGCGTAAGAATCGTGAAGAAGAAATTTTCCCGTGAATCAGTGAACTTTTCTTTTCGGCGGCCAGAGAGATGGACTTGTTAGTGTTGGAAAAATATAAAATGCTTGCTCGTTCCTTTTCTCAGAGCTTTTTTTCCTCCTTTAACGGCAACTTTTGAGACACACACTCTCCGGAAGGGAATTATGTTTCTGGGCCCCAAATAGCCGATCACACCAGCATGTTTATGTCGAGGAAATCATTCGAGTCTTACGAATTTTGAGGTAAAAGAAAAATGATGATTTGCTGTTTTTTTTTCAATATGATATATATTTGTAAAATATATGTGTACAATATAAAATGTAAAATATGTTGTTTACCTATTCATCATCTCAACACTTGCAAATATGTCATCTTTCCGGTTTCTCGGTAATTTTCTATGCTCAATTCTCTCTCTCTTTATTTCTCTTGTAAAAATCACATTCAATTTGCATTTCCAATGTTTCCCAAATTCATCATCATTTCTTATATTATGTTACTACATATTATATAAAATCGATAGAAATTCTATGCGAGTGATTGTTAGGGAAAATCCTTATCATCTAATGCGCATGGTTAATGGCAAAATTGCAGTGGTTTCGTGTAAAAATCTCCTCTGTGTGTATAAATTTATGGTAAAATTAACTCTGGCGATGGGAGAATATCCGTCTTGTAGAGACAGTACAGAATACTTGAATACCAGATTATCTGGTCATTGGAATTGGTGCCCGCCAAAATGTGACCCATAAACGGTGAATCTCGGTTTCTGCCAAAAAATAGAAAGCAAACAATAATAATTATCCAGAAAAAATACATTTCAACAAAATCTTTCCTTCTTACCGCTTAGTAAATGCATTTTCCACCAATGTAATCGCCCATCGAACTTGGCATTCGCGCTTCTTCTCGAATCCCAAATACGCCACAACATTCTTCATATCAATTTCCTTCACTTTCGTCGTATCGCCTTGTTTCTCCTTCTTAATCACCGAAATCTTGCCATCCAGCAATTCCAGCGTGAACGCTTTGAGTGTTCGTGTTTTGCAATCGGCAAACTTCAATTCTGTATTCGGCGAAACTGTTGGTAAATTCCTCAGCGCACGTTCGACGTCATAGAGAAACTTTGTTGGTCGGAGTTCCAGATAATTATCTTTCCGGTCAACATCTGACCAATCTGTCCACCTGACGAAGTAAAAGACAGTTTAATATACTACAAAAACCACAGAAAAATCGATTAAAACTCACCTTAGGACAATGTTAAGGACATTTTCTGTGTGATGAAGTGGCCTTGTCAGATCTCCGCCCAGCAGAATTTCCGACAGAGTCACTCGATGAGGTGGCAAATTGATTTTCCCCGCGAGTTCTTTGCACAAATCATACACCGTCTTGGTTGGTGTGAGCGACACATTAACTTGCTGCTTCTCATCGCCACTCTTCTCCCCAACAATTGTCACCCACACTTTCAAATCTCCCGACTTTTTCACCGTGTCCGCGAGATTTTCCGCCGTGGCGTGATATTTCTGCAACACCGACAGCATAATTTGCTCCTTTGCCACCTCATCGGCCGTGGGATGGAATAGATTCTTGTAGTACACAATTAAATCGTGCATTGTTGATGTCTCCTGACTGGAATATTTCACTTCACCATTTGTGGAATCTTTATCATACAGCAAATTTGATCCCCAAATCATGGCCAAATTCTCTGAACTCATCTTATTCTGTTGCTTCTGTGATTGAATGAAATTCAAATGACCAAGAAGCTTCCGCAACGCTTGATACTCAATTGTTGGCAATCGTGAAAGGAGTTGCTTGTAAGAATCTACCTTTTCTGTGGCTGATTTCAATGAGGAAACACTGAGAAATCCCACTGTATACTTGCCCAACATTGGCTCGGGCAGATCACGAATGAATCTCTTCAGCACATTCGCCACATCGTGTTCAGAATAGTCAGATCGTGTGATTTGCACACTAAATGCATCCGCATGGAAAGCATTCAACAACTTCTGAATCGCATTCTCCGTTCCAGATTTCCGATAAATTCCCTCCGACATCGATCCATGAGCATAGATGAAATTCACACACTTGTCAATCAACACAGGCACATTATCCTTCGTCAATTGTTGATGCTTCAACAGACTTCCATTCCTCAGCGCCTCTTCTTTCACAATATGACGCCATATCTGTAAGAATTGTTTTCAGAGAAAATTTATGAGTGTTTCTTTTTAAAAACGCATTGACCTCATTAACCCAAGCATAATTATGCCAAGCATCAATTAATATAGACAAAATTACAATGGTCAGAAAATCTCACCTTCGTCTCGCGCGGAGAGCTCATGATGAAGTACACGGTGAAGGGAGGACAGTCAATCATAAGCAGTGGTCCAGATTCCACATGTAGATTCACGATGGAGTCATCAGAGTCCTTAAGTACGAGACATCTGGCCTTCCGCAGATCCATCACTTCCAGCTTCTTCTCCGCCGTGCTGTAGAAGATCAACTTGCGACGCTGCAACAGAAGCCACGCTCCTGACCACTGTGCCGTGATGGACTTCTTCAAGTAACACCATCCCGCCCGCGTGAAGTCATTCGTCACGCCAGACGGAAACACATCCGTCATGCTCTCCATCACCCTCTGCATCCACTTGTTCCTCTCCGACGCCTTGGCGGCGCTGTACAGATAGCACACCCTCTGGAACTTACTGTTGCCACTGTTGTTAGTTGTCATCACCATGTTGGGATTGTTCAGTGCCTGACTGCTGGATTGACTCTTGGGCGTGGCCACGGTTAGCTCGAAGCAGTGCTTCTCCGTCGTGCTATTGCTGAACTTGTGGTTCAACACAATCTGAATGGTCGTCACGTGATCCAGTGGAAAAGTCTCCTTCGGCGTCTTGAGACTCGCATCGAGGAATGTTGAGAACTTTTGCTCATGCAAAATTACAAATCTACTCTGAAACTCCTTCAAAATATCCTTCACAACTCCCGTTCCCGATGGCAATCTTATCAACAATCCCTCAAAGCGTGTTCCTCTCGGAATAATTGCCGGCTTTGGCAACATCTCCAGCACAGTGGCAACATCCTTCTTCCCCGACTTGAAGCTTGATTTGCGCAGAATGTTTATCTTACCCTTTTGGAAGACATTCGAGAAGCGTGACATCATTGAAGAGCCCGAAGATGGTGGAACAGCAGAAGCAGCAGTGTGAGTCTGAGGAGCAGATATTGGGGCACTTTTCTCCCCAATCACCTGAGGATTGGCGCCTTCTCGCAGCGCCTGCTGGTACGATGGCGGATCCATGGGTGGAATCATGGGAATACTCTTGCCCACTTTATCCTGATTCTTCTTGCTGCCACCGCTCAAATCATTCTTATTCGCCGGATCGATATTCTGCTCCTTGGCGTACTTCTCTCGCACGGCCGTCGCCTCGTCGACAAACCAATTTGTCCTTGGCGCTGTAGGTCGTCTCAAATCAGCTGCAGCTCCTTCGGCACTGAAATGATCCTCATCCACTTGCGCCAAATACGGCTCTATCTCCGTCTCATCCACAATATTCTCCGTACTGTCGGATCTCAAGCGTAAATTCTGATGAACAATCACACTTCTCTTCCCCTCCGATTGACTCGTCGATGGTCCAGCAATTGGTTCACTCCGTTCTGACGCCAACACACCCGTGTCAACACTGGAATTGTCATCGTCAGACAAGTCAGGAGTTATGCTCAGATCATCAGTGATGTTATCATCATCAATTGATCCATAAGTTTCCTCTGACAGTAAGTTTTCCAGCAAAATCAACTGATTACTCTTATTGCCAAAATTATCATCCACCGACGATGCAAAGAGTGGATCAAATTCATCAATGATATCCTTGGGATTCCTCGAGGAAATCCTCTTCGCTTGCATTTGTATAACTTTCTGTGGCATTATGATGCCCTTTTGCGATTCCATGTCACACAATCGTCCATAAACTGGCTCTTGATTGGCATAAATGGGCTCAGGAGAGCTCATATCTCTCTCCTCCTCCTCATTGGCAGCAATATCATAGAATGTCCAAGAGTCACACTTCTTCGGATTCTCCTCCATCTTCTTCTTCTTGTCCCTCTTCCGGGATTCATAGAAGTCCTCAAGGGAGGAATCAGCACTGGCGAGACGGGAAAAGAGACGCGGATAGAGTGGTTTATCCGTTGGATCCACTGTGGCTCTATTGGAAGCAATGCTGGCATTCTCATAGTCCTCATGGCGTCTCATCTGCACATTCTCCATCGAGTCACTCTCCGTGCTGTCTGTGTACTGAGACTTGTTGATTTTCCCATACGGTGGCTCTTGCTTCAGCACTGGCGCGGGGATTGTTGGGCATGGAAAGCCCTCGACGGAGGAATCTGAATCCTGACACAAATTACTCTCACTGCGGATTCTCATCACTGGCGGCGGCGGTCTTCGTGGCTTTCCTCCGCCACTCACCATGCTCTGTGTCATGTTGCTGTTCCTCTCGAAGCCACTCAACTTCGGCGAACTGGGAATGGATTTGGCAGCGCCAGATTCAGACGTCTCACTGGTCAGAGACGCTTTGCTCTTGGGAATCTCATATGATGACTCAGCCATGCTGATGTCGTCACAGTTGTTCGTCTTGCTCTGCAGCGGACTGTTGAATTGGATCGACTGGAAGACCGTGTCGCTCGGTGGCAGTGTTTGCGGGCGATCCGGATCAAATGTCGGCGATCGCTTGTCTTGCCTGCCCAGCGATAAATTCGATCCACTGCTGCCAATTACATTAAATCTCGATCGGACATTCTTCAGCTTTGAGCTGGTCTCGACGCCCCACGAAGACAATTTCTCCTTGGAAGACTGAACATTCTTATCAAACTTGTGCTTTGCCCCTTTTGTCCGTGCCGACACGCGTTCGGTGATTGATTCCGTCAGCAGTTTTGACGTTGCCCCAATTGACTTGAGAATATCCCTGCGAATAGAACCAAAAATTCATTCAAGAAAAATGCCTCTCTAATCTATAAATAATGTGAAAAAAGGGAAGTTGATTCATCATTCCGCTGAAAGCTAATCTCAAATGATCACAATCATCATCATCAGACGCCGATTCTCGGAAGATTGTCAAGTAGTTCCGAAATAGTATCAACATTATATCGACATTTTGCAGATAACCAAATTTGGTGCAACATAATGTGGGGAAAACTTTGTTATCTCTTCAACAAGTTTTCAACACTGATATTCTCTTTCTGGCAGGTGGAATCACACTTCGGAGGTCTAATCTAATTTCTAATGACCTATTTGAGAAATTTAGACCGATTTTTATCAAAGTCACAGAGAGACAGAAAAATAAGGAAGACAAACATATAAAACAAGAAAATTGCATATTTCTTCGCTACAATTTATTTGTCTCTGTGTGTGAAAGAATGTTGTCATGCAAGATGGAAAAAAGAAAAAGTCTTGCGAATGTGGAAAATAGTTTCCTCATTTTATCACTTTAGCTTTATGTCTTTTTATTAAGTCAAAAACCGCGACTTTCATTGTTTTACATTGATAAATTGATATCAAATCTCTGCATTCGCGACACATTCATTATCAATGAAGCAACAAAACCAAACTCAAGCCTTCTTATCACTCATTCCTAACGTACTTAGCCACATAAAAACGCCCAATTGTAGTACTTTTGTCCACTTGAACATTAAAATTTAACTATTATGGAAGCACGTGTGGCGCAACAAGAGAACTCCACAGAGTTAAATACTCTTCTGCTAATGAGCTTTGCATCCACTTCCACTGTCTGTGAGACACTGAGAGTGGCAACGCTTCCTGCTCCGCTGCATTGGCTGGCGGCGAGAAAGCCCCACTTGCAATATTTCAGTCATTTGATCGCTCGCAGTGGACAAAGAAAGCGAAATCAATGCACAGATCGTGTTACATACCCGGGCGATGAGGTTTTATACTTGGACAGATTATCGTTGCTGGAGTGTGAGCTGTTCAGCGTGCTGCTGGATGCGGATTTCTCCAGTGTCGCATCGTTATCAGGAGTCTCTTCTAGGTCAGGATACAACTTTGTCTGGTTGTCGCGAGAAGTGCGCCGAGCAGGTTTCTGTGGCGCCTCTTTTGAGCTCTTTGATGGCAATCCAGGAGCCTTTCGCGTCGGTTTCTTGCTCACGGCACCTGAACCTTCAGCTGAGGCGTTCTGATGCCTCCGCGGCGCTGGAACAGGCTTCTTCGAGTCCTCACTGTCTTGGAAGACCTTCTTGTCGGACGAGAGGCTCTTATTCATCTCCAGATTAAGATTATTCATCTCTGTGATGACATTCCTGTACGGATTATCCAGTTCATCCACATTCTTGTCCACTCTCGACACTTCCTGGCTCTCTTCTGTGATATTGAAGATGGTTTTGCTGCTGTCCATGGAGACATTCTCGTACTTCTTTCCCTGCTCCTCCGGCACAGGTTTCTGCTGGACATTCCTTCGAGGTCGGGGAACAGGACGTGGAACTGTGTCACCTTCCATCCTCGCGCTATTTATTAACTCACAAACTGTGCCAAATACGATTTTTCAGCGATGTTACAACACCGAAACGTGCTGACTGATGGAATGGTGTAAAAAGAAACTAACAATTGCCATGAGTCATCCACAATTCCGCTGATAAGTTCATTGAATCACTCCATTCAACTCTTCTATGCTGGCGCACTCAATTACTGGCCAATTGAACCACTAAATGCACTCCTCGCACTCTCCACGCCGCTTTTCACACACTTTTCCTCCTCACGCTGGGAGCGGTTTGGCACTTTCCCACAGAGAGAGAGACTGGAGTTTTTCCCAGAAAATTCCCTCTCACTTTTCGTTCACACTTTACGCGCTTTGGCACCGTATTGCACACAGAACCACAGCACTGAGCACAGAAAAGAGACTCTAATGAAGCAGAAATTATGCAGAAGAAGCAAATAAAATGAAGGAAAATGAGATAAAATGGGAAAAATAAAAGAAAATATTTTTACAGCCTGACAAGTGAATCACAATTATTATTTTCCATTCGCTCACATCAGCGCCAACTGCGACTCAACCGAGAAACTTTCAGCGACATCTATGCAAAGTGGAATGCAGTTGTGTTTAAAAACAATACCGAATTAATTCACGTGTTAGTGTTTCACAAAAGAAAAATTTCTCTGTTTAAGCATTGCGAATTTATTTTGATATTTCACTAAAATTGCAATAAATTCATGACCATGTAAAATAATTTGTTGTAACGATTTCACATTATACTTTATTCCGTTGCGAAAAGAGTAAAACTCACTGTTATTACTCGAGGAAGAGAATAGATTTTAAAGATAGTGAGATAAACAAATAGGTTTTAATTGAAATACTAATCTAGTGTTTATATTTTGTCTTGCTCTGGATGAAAGAGTGGAAAATGGACTGTGTATTCTTCCTTAGAATGTGTTCAATGTCATGGTTAAATATTTCTTTAATAATTTGTAATGCTATCAAAGTATTTATCAGCCATGAATTATGTCTTTTATTGCCAAAATGTTTGTTTTCTTAATAGATCAGTAAAGAATGTGCTTAAACGTGTTAATAATTCGTTCATTGTCACAATAAAGTTCTCTCTAGAAACCAAATTTTTAATATCATTTCTCCAAAAAGCATAGATTTTTATCATAAATCACATTTATTTCTAGAAAATTGATGTATTTTCCACTCCTGCAACCGGAGAATAAACAATACGCAATCATTCTCATCATGCATTGCATCCAGAAACCAAAAAATCAAATAGAATATTTATTAAAGTTGAGTTAGGAAATCATATAAAAACATCTCACAAAACACTGACTTGTGCGCCTCTTTTGCGCTCACGCCGCAGATGCAATGTGAAGTAGTGGTGGAGAGATAGAATTTATGAAGGTGAAAAAGTGCGTGGCATTTTGCTATGAGACAAAGTGGGATTGATAAAATGCGGAAATATCGATGAGGAAAGAAAGAATAAATTAACAGGATTTAGCTTAGAGACGCGCTGACAAGTGGCGGGAAACATATACACTAAAGAGAGTGGTCATTGCTGTTCGCTTTGTAATTAAACATCCACATGATGGCGAGATCGCGAGATCTCGCTCAGTGAGAGAAGAACAATACAAGATGTGAATATCGTCTTATGAGAGAATTGATGGGAGTATGTGGTCTTTCTCCTGTCCATAAACGCAGAGATTACAGCTAAAAAGAGAAACGAGTGGGTGTGCCTAATCCTAAAGGGGGGAGCAGAGGACGCGCGCGATCTATGCCGCCAGCTTCTTCCGCGGCACCACTCTCACGGGGAAGCCCTCTTCCCGCTTCAGGATGATGTCCGCCTGCAGCTTGAACTCCTTCTCGTCGATGTTGGAGTGAATGCGGTAGTTGCGCAGGATGGTGGACAGGAGGATCTTCAGCTTCAGCATGGCATACTTGCGACCCACGCAGCTCCTGGGCCCGGCCGAGAATGGCACGAAGGCGTAGTAGTGGCGTTTGGCCTGTCGCTCGGGCAGGAAGTTGTCGGGATCGAAGACGTCCGGGTTGGGATACAGATTCTCCATGCGGTGCAGCTTGTACGTGGCCACGACGACAGTCGCTCCGGCCGGAATCGTGTAATCTCCAGATGCTGAAGCAGAAAGAAAAACACAAGGATTAGCTCGCAAGAAGTGCAGCAGAGGATTAGTCGTTCGTACATAGTTTGAGGTCCTCCTTGAGCTGTCTGGCGATGATTGGCACTGGTGGATACATTCGGAGAGTCTCCATGAGGCATCTCTCCAAATACTTCATCTCGAGCGTGTCCTGGAACGTGGCCGGTCTGTCAGAGTCCCCGAAGATCTCGTCGAGCTCCTGAATCACTTTGTCCTGGATGTTCGGGTGCAATCCCATCAGCGTGAGGAAGAATGAACTGGCGGCAGCTGCAAGGGTAGTGATTTAATTAGTTTGCTCTTCCCCAGGAAAAACCACCCTAATCCTCCTCCCTCACCTGTGGTATCGTGTCCCTCGAACATAATCGTGTTGACCTGCTCGCGAATCTCATCCTCCGTGATCGATGCTCCGTTCTCTGCGCTCTCGAGAAGCAACTCGAGGAAGGCGGATCTCTTCTTCTCGCCAATATCGTTCTCCTCCACATCCAGATCGTCCTTGAGGCCAGAGGATTGACCGAAAGACAGACCCTCGACTGTGGTGGTGTTGTCCGACTTCGCCTTGGCCGTCGTGGCTTCGGATGTCTTGATGCTCGTCTCGGCGAGTGAGCCGCGCGTGCCCTTCTTGAAGGCCTCCTTCTTGCTCGTGATCACGCGCTTCGTGAGGCCGTGAATGATGCTGAGCAGCTTCTCCTGGCGACTGGCGTGACTCGTGAGGTTGAAGATGCTGTTGGGGCGCAACCAGATCTTGCGGATGCGCAAGTGGAGAATGTCACACATCTTCATCACTGCCATAGCGTACTCGTAGCCAGACTCTTGCGTCTTCTTCGATACACCCATTGCAGTCTCTGCACAATTAGTCAGACAAAAAGTCGCTCGTTAAGTGGGATTGAGAGTGAAATGACCGAAATGTCTGTGACATTCTGCAGTTCTCGTATATCACAAAAGATCATTGGGGAATTTTTTGGCGGTCACCAAAGGAAGAATTCTTTGCAATGATTCCTCCATGAAAACCAATTTGATTAGCGCATTGAATGTCCTGAAATGCTCATTGTGCATTCATGACTCATGGATGGTTTTTGGTGGTAAAATAGATAATTCAAAATAGAGTTGCAACTGTTGTGAAAATTCTAAGTCAAATGGATAAAATGACTTCTGATGACTCGTGTAATTGAGGAGGAAAATGAAAATAGTCCGCATGACATAAATTTCCCTCAACGAGGAGCTCGAGTGACAAATAGCATGAAATTAGACGAGGGAAAAGTGAAGATATCCTTGTGTGAGTCCGCGCGGAAAGCGCACGAACAGACGGAGGAAATTGAGGAGGGAAATACATAAGACGGTAAATTGTTCCATTACATTCGAGAGCTTGGGTGTAAAGATGATAATCCAGCGAGTGGGAATTATGCAATTGCTGGCTGACACACTATCGCGATGCTAATATGTAATTGAAACATAAATTGTGTATATGTAGACCAATTGAGAGAAACAGGTTGGAATTATTCTTGAGACACACTGCCACGATGATCCGGCGAGAGCTCGTTTGAGAAATGCATCTCTCTTTTTCTTCGCCCCAGCATAGAAAGTGTGCACTTTGTGCGCGCGACCACTTGCAATTTCTCTCTGGCGAGAAAAATCTCTCCGCCGATGGTTTGCGCGAGAAAGGTGACGCAAAAAGCGAGACTCGCGATTATTATTATGTTAAAATGAATCTGTTATTATTTAATAGGTACGATTATCATGTGTGTCTGTGGTGATTTGCAGATGAAAACATGGCCATTATGCAATTCCAACGGGAAACAGGGTTGCTGTCTATCGAATCCTTAAAGAGTGACTGACACGTAATCTAATCGTGAGATTTACCACTCAGAGCCGCGCTCAGTTACTCAATTTGCCGATTGGGAGAGATGGGACGAATCTCCGCCACATTACGTCTCATGGGTGAACAGAAAGAGTTGCATTGACGTGTGAGTCATGCTGAGGAAAATGTGAATTTTTCAACATTGTTCACACCATTAGTGGGATAATTTAAACATGTTTTGAAGGCTTTGCAACTGTAACAGATGTGGAAGTGATAAAATGTTGTTGAGGGAAAACTTGCACTTTGTGAGACAGTTTGAAGGATTTACTGTATTTTCCTATAAATGCCTTTGCAATTGTGTCGCAATTTCCACGCGTCTCTAATCTATCCAATTGACCATGTGTGAGTTCATCACTTTCTCCATTAGGTGTTTTTTTCTTTTTGGGGAGGGGATGGAATGGGAAAATGAGAATTTTTCTTACCCAGCAGAATTTCCACTGTAGCCTCAGACATGTAATCGTGACAATCGAACGTCTTGCCCACTTCATCCTTCAATCGATTGCACACGTGGCGTGAGTTCTCATTGAAGAGATCTATGAAGCTCTTGAGAACGTTGAGATGGAACGTGGGCGCAATAATTCGTCGATGTGATCTCCATTTGTGGCCTAAAATAAAGATCCGACAAGTAACATTAAATTCAATTTATTTCCATAAACCCTAAAACGAATAAGAAAATTGCTTCCTCTCTTTTGCCAACACATTTCACACATCAGCATAAATTGAGACACTCTGGACACTGGATGCTGAACATTATTGGGGGGCGCTTCAGCAGAGAAAGAGTCCCCCATCGTTGATTCTTCCCATTAACCCACCTGAACTGATTAATAATCCATTTCCCAGCCATGGCTTGAAGAAGCTGTACTCGGTGGACTTATCAATGTAAATGTGACTGCTGAGAATCAACTCAATGTCCCGGGGCTCGAAGAGGAACACCGTCAGTTTGGGGCCGACCCACAGACGCACAACTCCTCCGGGGTATATCTTGCCCATCCGCATAACATTCTCAAATGTTTCTGGGCAAAGAGAGAGTGAGAAGAGAAATGTTAATGGCACGTCAATTGATCCCTTCACGCGTTTTCACTGTAAATTGCGAAACACACTCTGCCTGCCAAACACCCCAATTGCAGGGGTGGCGGCTGGCTGCGAATGGTCCGGAGAGGGTAACTCACTGTGTGGCGAACCGAGGAGACTCATTAAATTGCCAATGACGGGGAGTGTTGGTGGTCCTGGCAATTTCTCGCCCAGCTCCACGAGGTGGCGACGCGAGAGTTTCCAGTAAATAATCCACAGGATGATGGCGGGAGCCAAGAGGAAGTAGAAGACACTGCTGGCGGTCCATGTGTTTGGTCCCAGTGGGAATTCAGGAGCCACAGTGTTCGACATGATGTCCGAGCAGAGAGAGATTTGTGAGATTGTAATCCAGATGTGTGTGCGCGCACTTCAGCCCCTCAAAAGATCCTTTTGAGCGCCGCGATTCGCAACAATTCCCGACTGTGCACAAGCCTCGCAGTGTCCTGGGAGGATTTTCGCGACGCGAGCAAGCAAGATCACGCAGAGTGTCCGGAGAGAGGATAAGAGTACGAAGAAATTCAACTCTCACACTCTTTATGGGAAGTTATAAATCATTTCACTTGAGGCTTTTTGAATGCTTCACCACTGTAATAACACTAAATAATCACAATCTCTGTCTGGCTTTGGATGCCCCCGTATATTCTTCTTTATCTTTCTTATATGGCTATAAGATGTATATGTAGAACACAACTTTATTATCTATTAATAAACTTCACTATAAGTACTTCCTCGAGTCGTTGAAGTCCAGCGTTAGCACAACTGACCGATTTCCATAGTTGCAGGCAGCTTTTATATAGGCTTCTCAAGTATGCATAATCATCATCCCTTCCAAGCTATCCGGTCCAACACGATCGCACAGCGCATGGAGAGTCTTACAAATATCAATTATTATTGTGTGCAATTAGCGATGCAGTTGACGAGCGCGCACTGCCAAATGGAATATTTTTCGGGGGAAAACTGACTTTCCTGTCCTGCAAAACAACCTCTTTTCCCCTCCCCAAAAGCAAAAAAAAACTCAACTTGTGGGATTTTCCACTTGAACTCTTGATCTTACTTGCCTATTGAACTTTCACGCATTGGCCAAAGTCCGACTGCAAGTCTAAAAAAGACACTCAAAGAAAAAATCATGATCATCTGAGGACATTCAATCCTTTGGCAATTTCTATCAATAATGATGATGAATTTATTGAAAAAATAAGTCGGAAAATTGTTGTTCGTGTGAATTTTGCCCACTTCATTCATGTGCGCTGTTGAAAATCACATTAAGAATCCGAGAAGGTGAGGGAAGTAAAAAATTCCGTTTTAATGTAACTTGTTCCAACATTTGATCCGATGTGAGTGTTGAGGAAACTAGTTTTTCTTGTGACGAATTTACAAGGAAATCATTACAAATGCACTCAGCAAGTGTTTGAGTATGGAATAGAATTGTGCAGCTCTTTGTAAATATCCACTAAAACACTATAAGAAGACCTTTTTTTCTATATGGATTGCTGATCAACTTGTGAGATTTCCTATATTTGCATTTGAGAAATCATTTGAATAAAATCTTTCTGCCATTGCTGGAGAATTCAGATGATTTTTCCCTCTATGTGCTGGGATCCGCTGGAGAAAATGCATAGCTTTAAGTGTGAGAAACGTCACCAACATACTGACTTATAGCTATAATGTGTGCCATAATGATATGATACTTAATATATATAGAGTTTCTCAAGATCTAATAGAGTAAAGTGCAAACATCGGGAAGTTGTAATTAGCTCGGCGAAAGCTAGAATGATTTAAATAATATGCTGCAACTAATATTTTCAGGGAAATCTCCGTCCGAAACGACATCGAATGTGTGCACATGGAAAATGCAAAGAACAAACTTTCAAATTTAATGTCTTCAAAAAGCACCTTAAAGCCTTAACATAAGGATATATCCATAACTAATCATGCGTAATAGTAATCTTACGATAGTATAAAACATTTTATTATTTTCAGCGATACCCTGCTCAAATACAGCGTAAGTGATATACGGCGGCGAGTTACATAAATTGCGTGTTGCAATGTGCGTGCATTTAGAGAAGTGATATCTTGCAGCCTGACTAGACAGTCTCTCTCTCTGAATATATTACCGCGATATTATGTGCAGGATCATTAGACAGATGACTCGTAGATGACTATTTGTACAACTTTGGGGTGCTGCTTGTGGGCTTGATGTGCCGCCTCCTTGACTTCTTGCAGAATGGCATTGGTGATCGCGGCGAGAGCTGCCATTTCCTGCTCATCGTCTTTGCCATCGGAACTGGGTCCGCTGAAGCCGTGCCTTCTTGGCATTGATACCTATAATATTGAATGTTGAAAAGCAGGTGAAAACATACCACTTTCGCCAACATACCGTCAGCACGCGCTTTAGGTCATTCTGCAGCGCAGACACGTCGATTCCGCCGGCTCCTCCGCCGGCGCCCAGCCTTCTCAGGGTGTCCGCCAAAGGACCCGAGAGAGCCTGCAGTTGCTGCCAACTCTGGGCGTACTGACGACGCACGAGCTCGATGATGGTGGAAGTCAGAGCCAAGCCGACAAGAATGTACAACGTGCAGAGAAGCATGTAGTTCGGCTTCTCTGGAAGCACGTAAGCCACACACAGTTTGAAAAACTGGAATTCAATTATCTGTCATGAGTGGGATTACCTGGTGTAATGTCTCCGAAGCCAATGGTGGTCATTGTGATGAAGCAGAAGTAAAAACCGTCAAAGAACGTCCAATCTTCCTCCCACTGAATGAGGAGAGCCGCTCCAACGGCCAGATAGAATGCCAGGAAGCCCACAGCCGAGAGAGCGTACAGCCATCTTTTGCTGGAGAAGTCGGCGTCCTTCTTCGCTTTGCGTCTGCACCGCTCTGGAAAAGTCCGGAAGACACACTGTATGTGATCATGTTTTCTCGTGGGAAAACTACTTAGAATAACGAGATGTTCATTAAGAATTGTAATATTGTTTTCATTGGGCAATAAATTCTCGACAATGAGTGTCTCTTTGAATTTGCTTTTATGGTGGAAGTATAATGGAATGCGATGGTAATTCATATAGATTTCTTCTTAAATATTTGAAGGCAAGATGTTATTTTTTCTTTTTCCAAGAAAACCAACAAGTTCAGGTTTCTTGAAATTTTGTGGAAAATGCTCTCTTGCGTCAAAGATCACGTTCTGCGCTTGAAAACAATTCCAAGAAATATTGCAAAGGACCTGTAAGTCCAATGAAACAGATCATCAAATAATTAAACCGCAACAGGAATGTTCTGCAACCACAACAGATTCAATGTACTGAAGACGGTGATTAATTAAGAAATCAACTCTAATGAACTTTACATAGACTTGCATGCACATAAAGTAGTGACACTCCTTCGCCAGGTGTTCTGAATGTGATTTATTTATATTTTATAGAATATCAATTTGCATTGCGTCATTGAACGAAGTGTGACGTATTTTCATTAAAGCTACTAAATGTTTGCGGCACTTTGATAACATTCTCGATAGAAGAGAGAGCCAGAACGTCACGATGTGGATTAATTGTGGGCGCTGGTGTTATTATTGAATGTGTGACAAGACTTACTTGGCAGCGGAGGTAAACTTTTAGCAATAGTCGAGACCGCCGTGGCAAAGAGTCGTCCCCAGTCCGCGATGACGGTGAGTGTGAGAGGAATTCCAATGAGTGCGAAGCACATGCAGAAGATTCTGCCTCCTGATGTCACTGGCACGATGTTTCCGTATCCTGAGAACAAGATAAGCACCGCGCCACGAGACGAGATGAGTGGCTAAATTGCTCGATATTTGCTTGTGATAAATGATCTTGTCGAATGTTTTATGGATACTCAAGAGGCAGGGTTAATTAGTCAGTCAATAAATTAAGTTGTGGTTAAAGTGAGATATTTGTGTGTGGTTTTTTGGGATGATTGAGGATAATAGTTTGTGGTTTTTTTGGCATGGCGCTCTTTTTCCTCACCGATTGTTGTGAGAACGGTGGAGGAGAAAAAGACCGCTTGCATTACGCTCCATTTCTCCTCGTCGGCGGGAAAATCGTCATCAACGGAGATAACCAGACCACCTTGAACGGCTTCCTGCACAGAAACCTCATACTTTGCTAATTCCACCGAGATTAGTCGCTCCAAGTTCCTCACATCGGTATTGTTGGCCACTGTTGTGAGGAAGTGCAGTCGTTTTTCCCGCACAATGTCACGCAGCTCCACAACACGTGCTCTTTCGGCGGGCAATTCCAGTTCCCGGAATACCTGCACATACAATTATATCAACGGCATATCCAGTAATTAGGAGTGTTAGCACACCACAAATCACCGATTACAGTGATGATATTGATCGGAATTTGCATAATTCGCTCAAATGATCTCTTAGATTTGTCGCTACAATTACAGATATTTTCAGAAAATCTAATTATACTAGTTCAGAACACTTAAAGTGAAATAAAGCATGGATTTCCTTCCTCTTTAAATGCGTGATTTATTTCTTGTCACATCAAAACCAGCGCTCGATGTTGCCCACATGATTTTGGGTGGGACAAAAAAAAACACCCATGCAAAACACATAATCTTTCTCTTGCAGTACGAGGAAGTGCTCATGAGAGGACTTAAAAATAGGTTGGGTTGTTTTTATCGGGAGGAAAAGGCGCACTTTTAAATATTCGTAAAATTTTATAAATAGATTATATGGATAATATTCAATTTCCTCTGAGGGCAAATCGATGAAGTGAGAATTTGATTGCGGAAATTGTAATTAAAACAGAGGCAAATACTCTCAAAAGTGTGCAATGACTCTGAATGTGTCGATTTTCTCGGGTTAAACTCTCTTTTGCTGTTACGTGCCTCAAGCAAGGAGTTGAATGAAAATCTCTTCCCATTGAGATTGCTGCACATCGCGCTATTTACGCACCAAAAAGGCAACAACGATATTTATTCAATTTATCTAATTTAGCTGGTGATACTGTGTGCCTCTGTGGATGTCTTCAGTCACCCATTCATGCGCTGGATTCCTATATTCAAAGGCATTTTCACATGTATACAAGTCATAAAAGAAATAAATGGCTTGTTGCTGATTTCTTCCCGGCCGGACATCTCACTGCGAGCCTCGCAGTGGGGCCATAATTTAAAAATAACAAAGACACCAAGCCACAAACACCGAGCGACATTTATTCATGACGACTTATCGGTCCAGCGGCGCATTTAGCCGAGTCCTGTTCAGGGGTTGTGATTTAATAAAGCCAGAGGGGTCAATTTGCCCCACAGGAATCCTTATGACGGGGGGAAAATGAGACATATTTCCTCGCTCAACCATCCAATGTTCGTTGAAATGAGAAAAAGGCCACAAAATTCAGTGTTTGCGTAGCCTAATGATTTGTACATGAGAGACGCATTCGTCGGCAAAAAGTCGATAAGTAAATAAACTGAGAAGATAAATTGAATGATTCCGATGACATTTCAAGAGCTTCAAGAGCTCTGATCAGAGTCTGATGGAAGACCTCACAAGTTCACGCCAATAAAGCAGAGAGAGAGAGAACATGTAAGGAGAGAGGCTTAAGGTGATGCCTGGATGGAAGTTTAACATTCATGCTGGGCGCACTGAATTTGTTTTTACAATCTCACATGTGTTCATCAGTTTTTCCAATCATTTAGGACACTAAATAGATCGTTACCTCTTTCGTGAACTCATAAATTTCCCAACACTGAATCTTTCGAATTTTCGGGCAGTATTGGAACACAAATCACTTGTCGCCTGTTCACAAGAAGAAATCTTCAGTGGTTAAATAGTTGAAAAATCTGAGCAGAAATTTCACTCTCATAACTCATGTTGTATTTGAAAAACACTTAAGATATACGCGCTCTTCAGTGATATTGTGCGGGAAAACATTGATTTCTTCTAGGAAAATTTATATACATTTTCTATAGTGGGAAAACCGATAGGTTGAAGAATATTTCAACAAACAGGAAACTATACAAACCACAAAATTATGCAAATGGTGCAAATGAGAAAGGATGGCGCACAATTTCAGGCAGTCAGTCTTGTTCTTATCTTCCGAACCATTGATTGTGTGTCGCCTCGCTAATTGAATGCGTGATGGGAATATTGACAATGCGGAAAGGATGGTGAATCGTAAAAGTGTCTCGTGGCGACGGAAAAGGAGAAATGGCAAGGAAAGCGGCGTGTTCATTGAGAAAAAATAAACAAGAGTAGTGGAAAAACTGAATAAACCTATAAATTTGCCATGGAGTTTAGCGATTCGTTGGCTATAAAATATACTCCTACAAGTTGTAAATATAAATAATGGACGTTATGGGGATAAAATGTGTTGCAAAATTTTATTATTGTCAGCCAGCCGATTAAATATACATTACAGAGAGAGAGATGGAGAGAGAGAGAGAGAGAGATTTTCAACTGGTGCGTCTACGGAAAACTCTTTTGGAAATATGCAGCGGAATTGTAACAAAGCTATGAGGAAAATTCGTTATTTTTGGTGGTGAAAGAGACAATTCGCCGCGATGTATTTTAGTAATGCTGATGTATTTATAGAAGTTGAGAGGGATTTTTCAGTGTTTTCACCATCAGAATATTGGATGACACTGCGCTCATCGCGCGAAGCATTTGAGAGAAAAAGCACAAATAAACTTGCGAAGAAAAAAGTGTTTTGAAGTATCTTAGTGCTGCTGATGAGGAAATACAATACAGAAATCGGCTGATTTTCTCTCATTTACTCACTCATCGACTCATGGACCCGCGTGACTTATTGTGTGTGATCACATAGTGAATCTCTGTGAACGGATCTATTCTGGGCATCCTTCTCAGACTTCTCAAGCCATGCGAGAGATTACTCACGAAGCCTCTGGATACTTATGTATCACTTAATCACTCTATTACTTCCTCGCTTCGCGCACCATGTGGTGCCTCATCTAAATCGCCAGACGATGGCCCCAATTGCCGATTTAATTTCATGGTGTTTAAGTACAATTGATAGCGGTGAGAAGTGGTGGAAAGTAAATATCCGATCCATACATCAATAAAGGATTAAATTACTCCCGATGTTTATTCAATTCATCACAGTCTGTTTTGTCAATATTCAGCCAGCAAATAAATTCATTTAGCCTAATCCCAACGCTTAAGGAGTGAAAAATGCGTTCTGCATTAAGAAGGTGCGCCTTTAAGAACACGGAAAATTGTCTCTCAACATATACGAAGCCTATTTATAGTGGATGAATTTAGTGGTTCTTGCTTGAGAGACACAAAAGTATTTGCAAGAAGTTGAGTGCTCTGACAACTTTCTATAATTACTGGGAAAGTCTGTGTGGTGTTTCTGAGGAATGTGTGCGAGCTTTCTCACATAGTTTACCGAATAAAAACTCTGTCTTGCCAAATAAATGCACAGATGTTGTAATTGTGCAAAGAAGGAGCGTCGAAATTTATTGTTCTTCAATCCAAAATTGCATATATGATTGAAGCCTTTTTCCCATTCTCTCACCTTTCTTGATCACTTTGAAAGTTAATTAGAGGGATTTTCAAAGGAAAGAAATCCAAATTTATAGAAGAACGATACAAAATACAGTGAAATCCAATTGTCCAACACAACAATCATGTTCCCAAAATGGCCTTTTGTGATCAATCGCATGGCAATTTCTGGTTTTTTTTCTTCTTCTACTCACAATTCCGCCAACGCCACAGTAAACTGCCAGTGAAACCAATAAACCGATATGACTGAGGGTTTTTTTCACATTGACCGCCGTCCAGAATCGTCGGAATTTCTGGCAAAAAGTCTCCCTTTCTTGCACATTCGCGTCGAACTTCTTCAATTGCTCCAACAAATCATTACTGGCATCCGCCTCACTCATGCTTCACGCACGGTCCGATACGCACTTTCACCTTTTTGATCCTCGCGCGAGTCCTGCGGACCGTCACATTCTGCGGCACAAGCGACACTCTGGCGAGCTTGGCGGCACTGGCAATGGGTCGGCGCACGAGGCGGCGCTAGAACATGATGCGTGAGCGAGTGTTGCGTATCCTGGGCGACTTTCACTAGAGTCGAATTCAGACTGGTGGAGCAAGAGAGCTCGTGCGGCTGTCAGACAGTCAATACAATTTGTATATTTCGGACGAATTCAGCAAGACTGAAATCAAAATTCGTTCTAAAAACTTGGAGTCTCTCTCGTCGGCTGTTTTTTGCGTGTGGGAGAGAGAAAGCGTCGTGACTATTTGTGTGCCATTCGCTGTTGTGTGACTCTTTGGCTGCTTGCAAAGCACACACGCGTCACAAGGATGAGACGATAGGAATTGGGACAAATCGCGCCCTTTTATTGCACTCTCTCCCTCCGCAAAAACACCGCTCAGCAAAGGTCATTTGCGCAAAAAAGGTAAAAGTGCCAAATTGTGCGTCCAATTATTCCACCAATTTAGTGTCCAATTTTCCGCGCACAAGAGAGAGTAGAAAGAGTGAAAGAACAAACACAATCACGCTATTAATACTTCTCAGTGCATTTTTTTCTGCTCGAAAAATTATCTCAACTATAAATAGATGGATTTGTGATTTATTGAACATGAAAAATTAAGAGATGGCCAGTATTTTTGCCCACTATTTGAATTCCAGTGCTGAAGCAATGAAAATATTACTTTTGATGTTTCCTCGTTTCTGGTGTTTACCATAAATTTATCTCGCTGCTTTTTATCGGCAAACATCAATAATAATCCTCATAAGTGGCCAGAGGAACAAAAGTGATAATTTTAGATTCACTAGAGGTTTCAGTGAACGAAACAGAGGAGATTATCAGGAACTGCACTTCCTTTGAAAATGCCACAACTGTTTAAATTAAATGAAACAAGTGTGGAAATTGAAGGGTAAATGAAATTGGCAGAATTTACCAAAATATTCACTTCTGTTTAATGTTTCTTTTTTGCATTAACTCTCGCCACTCAAGAACTTGAATTGCGAATCATTCAATGTTAAGCACTTGATTAAGCATGGTACAGAATTAACTCTTTGATGGAATCCAAATCCTATCACAAGATATTGAATTGCTTATAAAAGCTCCTGGCTTCTCTCAAAACCCACCAATTCACGTAAATTGCCTCCAGGCAAAGAAGAGACAGTTTTTTGGAATGTTATTTGTGTGGTTTAAGAGAAGGGCAACCTATAAATAGTGTCATCAAAGGTTTTTGGGCGTTTTCTTGTGCCTCAATTTCCCAATAGTGCTCTTTATGTGGTTTTCTCGCGCCCAAGCAATTGCAATTTCCTCATTGACAATCCCGTTTTTCCGGTAGTAATTCGCTTCTTTGCATAAATGATTGTAAGAATCGCTGTTTCAACCAGAAAGAAGTTTGGGATATTGCAATATCAAGTGTCTTGTGAAATTTTGATAGTTGTTCTGCAAGCTGCAATGACAAGTTTATTAGACTTTGCATTTCAAAGTAAAGGAAGCTTTACTTCTTTCCTTTTTTAACAAGAGTTAATTTTTATTCTGAATATTATTTTAATTTAGATATTTTCAATAATTAATTCAAATGTTATATATAAGATTTTTCCCATCTTTCCTTCTTACAAATTAAAAATCAATATTTTAACAACCGTGACTACTCAAATGATTAAGTTTGAGAGTGATAAGACACTGATACCTCCCTGGACGTAGTCGAAACGTAGCCGAAATGCGGTTTGTGTCTCAAGTAACTGAAAAACCGTTCAATTCGAAATTTTTGTTTTCATACAAGCATGAAACATCAGAATACACTTTCAGAATACACGGTAAATATGTATTCCTAAATTAATGGAGAATAAACGAACATTTTGGAATGTATGTTTCATGTTTCACCTTTGTTTCACTCTGCACAGTTTCAGTCAATTTCTAGCAGTGTATTTGTCAATGCTGTACGTTTCGCGTGGATAATAAAACATCCTCTGTTTGTCTCCGGTTTTCTCGCGTATTTTCACACAGATATTGCTCAAATATCAGTGAATAAGTGCAGCAATACTCTGGGAAGATTAAGATATTGGAGATCCTGGAGAATTCTCAGAATATCGTAAGTAAAACCACAATAGCTTATTGTTGAGGTTATGTTTATTGTTTTCCTTGACAATTTTCCTATTTCTCGCAGAAAACCGCCAAAATGACTAGGGGCGATGTCTCCAAGGACTCCAGAGACACCGAGGAAGGCAGTGCTCGCAAGGAGCGGACGCCTGAAGCGCCCAGAGCAAAGAAGTCCCGGAGAGACAGTGACTCCAAGCGTCCGGAAGAGAGGCGCAGATATGACGACAGGAGGCGTGAGCGGCGCCGCTCGCGGTCCAGGTCGCGGTCCAGATCACGTTCGCGTTCCCCTGCGCGGCGGGAGGATGGGAAGAAGGCCGATCCGGAGGTGATTACGGAACGACAGCGTCGCACTGTGGATCTGCTGACATCCAAGACGGGCGGCGCGTACATTCCGCCGGCCAGGCTGCGCATGATGCAGGCCGAAATCACGGACAAGTCTTCGGCGGCGTACCAGAGAATCGCCTGGGAGGCACTCAAGAAGTCCATTCACGGCTACATCAACAAGGTGAACGTGGACAATATCGGAATCATCACGCGAGAGCTGCTGAAGGAGAACATCGTGCGCGGCCGTGGCCTCCTCTGTCGCTCCATCATTCAGGCGCAGGCCGCGTCACCGACTTTCACGCACGTGTACGCCGCCCTGGTGGCCGTGATCAACTCCAAGTTCCCCAACATCGGGGAGTTGCTGCTGAAGCGCCTGGTGATTCAGTTCAAGCGGGGATTCCGGCGGAACGACAAGGCCATTTGCATCTCTTCATCGCGATTCATCGCTCATTTGGTGAATCAGCGCGTGGCGCACGAGATCCTGGCCCTGGAGATCCTCACGCTGCTCGTGGAGAGTCCCACGGACGATTCCGTGGAGGTAGCAATCGCCTTCCTGAAAGAGTGCGGCCAGAAGCTGACCGAGGTGACGTCGAAGGGCGTGAATGCCATTTTCGAGATGCTGAAGAACATCCTGCACGAGGGCAAGCTGGACAAGAGAGTGCAGTACATGATTGAGGTGGTGTTCCAGGTGCGCAAGGACGGATTCAAAGATCATGTGTCGGTGATTGAGGCGCTGGAGCTGGTGGAGGAGGACGATCAGTTCACGCATCTCGTGATGCTGGACGAGGCGACAGAGACGCAAGATGTGCTGAATGTCTTCAAATACGACGCTGAGTACGAGGCGAATGAGGAGAAGTACAAGGGCTTGAGCAGGGAATTGCTGGGCAGCGACGCGAGCGATTCAGAGTCTGGAAGCAGTGACAGTGACTCGGATTCCGACTCGGATGACTCAAATGAGGAGGAGCAGGAGGAGAACAAGGCAGGCGACATGATCATTGACAGCACAGAGACAAATCTCGTGGCGCTGCGACGCACCATTTATCTCACCATCCACTCGAGTCTGGACTACGAGGAGTGCGCGCACAAGCTGATGAAGATGGAGCTGAAGCCGGGCCAGGAGATGGAGCTGTGCCACATGTTCCTGGACTGCTGTGCCGAGCAGAGGACGTACGAGAAGTTCTACGGTTTGCTGGCACAGCGATTCTGCATGATCAACAAGGTGTACGTGGCGCCCTTCGAGGAGATCCTGAGGGACACGTACGCCACGACGCACCGCCTGGACACCAACAGATTGCGCAACGTGAGCAAGTTCTTTGCGCATCTACTCTTCACGGACGCCATCGGCTGGGACGTGTTGGAGTGCATCAAGCTGAATGAAGAGGACACGACGAGCTCCAGCAGGATCTTCATTAAGATCCTGTTCCAGGAGCTGGTGGAGTACATGGGATTGGGCAAGTTGAACGCCAGGCTGAAGGAGCCGATTCTACAGGACTCATTCGCGGGACTCTTTCCGCGCGACAATCCCAAGAACAGCCGCTTCGCCATCAATTTCTTCACGTCCATCGGCTTGGGTGGCTTGACGGACGGGTTGCGAGAGCATCTGAAGCAGATGCCCAAGGCGGTGGGACCGGCCATCAGCATTCCCGTGCAGCAGGTCGATAGCAGCTCATCGTCCAGCTCGTCAGCGTCCGAGTCTTCTTCCTCCTCGGACTCCGACTCGGACAGCAGCAGCAGCAGTTCCGAGTCAGAGTCGAGCGACTCCTCGGCCAGTGAGAAGAGGAAGAGCAAGAGGAGGAAGAAGAAGGACAAAAGGAAGAAGGCGCCGGTTAAGAAGAAGTCAACGAAAGAGTCCAGGAAGGACAAAAGGTCCCCTGACGATGACAGGGAGGAGAGAAGGCGCGGCAGGAGTAGGGAAGAGCGGCGGGAGGAAGTCCGGGAGCGATCCAGAGGCAGGGAATCGCGAAGGGAGCACAGAGACTACGAGGATCGGCGGGAGAGATCGCACAGGCGCGAGAGGTCAAGAGACAGGCGACGATAGACGCCAAAGAGAGTGTTAAGAATGTGTGGATCAGTAATAAAACTAAGGCAAATATCACTGAGTTTTAAATTCTTTGCCATTGAATTGTCTTGTCCAATGGACGCTATTTACATTGTAAAAAACACGCTGGAAAAGCAAGAAGAGATTCTCCAAAAAAAACTCCCAAAAGTAAAACTCTGATTTGATTATACTGAGCAAACTATTAAAATTTATTTGAATCGAAATTTCCTCAATACATCATTACATATTTTTAAAGGATATTATCATGAAATTTTCCCGGTCACAATTACACTCTGCAAATGGAATAATTTATCGAAAAAAAGACCTTTTTTCTCTCTACAATCTATTTGTCTATTACTAGTGAAGATTCATACTTTGATTTCCAGTGATTCTGTTTTTTCCCTTTTTCTCATCCGAAATTGATTTTTTTTTCTGTATTTTCGAACAAACTTTTCCTTTTTATTTATTTTCTGTAATTCTACAATGCTAGGATTCTATTTACAATTTGTCGTGCTCAAGAATTTTGGTGACTTTATTTTCTCAACCCGAATGTCAAAAAAATTGGTGCAACTTAAATAGGTACTCTTTTTCTCTTGCTTAAAGACTCTCTCTTGTAACTCTTGAATAAATCAATAGAGACGGATTCTGTGGAATTTTCTCGGCTTTTTCGGTCGCATGAGCAAACTTTTATCCAACATTTTTCTAACACGTTTTTTTTTCTTTTCTTTCCCAAAAATTTAATCTTTGTCTCTCTATAAGTTTAATATTATATCATATTAAGATACAATTATAACTTCTTTTGATTTGATACGATATTTTTTGGTATTTGCTGTTTTCCTTTCATGAATAATATAATAATTTCCATATAATTTTACATGTTTTTTTCCTTTCCTTTTCTTTATGAAATTTCCCATTCTTTCTTTTGACAAAGTCTGACTTTTTTATATCTCTATTTTTAGGGATAGTTTTGAAATATTCAAAGAAAGCGTCTACAACTTTGGTAAAATGCTGTATTAATGTCGCTATTTTCTCACTATTTCCACAATAAATTAATTACTTTAATTACACAAGGTTGACATGCATGAATGATAAAGTATTACTATTAACTGTAGTCCATTATTTCACTACCTAAATCATTTCTATTGACAAATTCACTGTGATTTTCCACACATCTCTACAAAGTCTTCTACTAAAATTGGAAATATTCGCGCGCGCAAACTTTCGCGCCGCCGCGGAGAAAAGCGTCTTGTGCCACTCGGTGCAAATCTCTCAACTACTTCTTCTTCCCATTATTATTATTACATATTATTACTCTCTTAAAGAAAAAAAGGGGGGAAATCAAAAGCCAGGTGCGTCTGAAAAATGGCACAATTCGTTCGAAAAATCCTTCCTTAACATTATTAAAAAGTGTTTTCGTTCAAAAAGCGAAAAGTTTTGTATCTCACAAGCACTCTTCATCGATTTAACTCTAACGCTTTTTTCTTGTCTCTAATCTTATTAAGCCACTTTGGTCTGAAAGGCCACTCTTTCTTTTCTATTCAATTGTTTTGAGGGCACATTGGAAAAATTGGGGGTGAAAACTAAGGGGAGAAGAAAAATAAAAAGTGGATTTCTAGTCCTACTAAAATATCAGTTTTCTTTCCATTTTGCTTCATCAACTACAAAAATAATCATTTTTCTTTCCACTCAATTTGTATCATCGCAATTTCTGTAGTTTCGAAAGGTAATTAACACCACTTAAAATTTATCCTAAAGTTTTACAACACACAGAAAGCTCATCATTAGGGCTAATTTTGATTTTCGTCCACATTCGTTTGCAAATATGTTTCATAGGATTGTTTCGTCGTATATTTAAACTAGTCTTCAATTATATAGAAAATGTTTTGCTTCTATATTATTAATCCTATCCTTAACTTATAGAAGATATATTAGAATTATATAGCTTGTAATATTGATTCATATATGCTTTTAAATAGGCACATCTCTAAGACAGGATCTCTAAACTCAAGACAGACTTTTCACTTGACATTTTTTTTCTTCTTTTCGTTTAAACACAAAATGATACATAATTAAACGCTTATTACAAGATCGGTTTTCTTTTAACAACTAATATTCAATGTACGAAAAGTCCCGTAGAAAGCACAGAAAGTCGTTGTATATTTAATAAATGAAATCGCGAATTTTATCCCTCTTTTTTCTTGTTCAAATTCCTGACTAGATAAATTTCGATTGGTTTATCGGTTCTTCTTCTACGAATTCTAAGACACGAGATTAGCTCGCCCTACTTCTCAACGCCCAGCAGCTTCGCCGCCTCGTCCGGGGACGATTGTAACACCTTGTTGAGTATCCCCTTGTCGCTGATGCCCAGGAGATTCCCGATGAGATCCGACGCTTCGCCTTCGCCCGCCTGCTCGTGCTGCTGCTTCATCAACAGCCCCAGAATGCTGGCGCCGTTGCCCTCGGGTAGCTTCTCCTGCTTCAGCTGCTGCTGCTGCATCTTCCACTCCATGAACTCCGGTATCTTGAGCAGATTGGGCAGATTGGCGATGGACGGCGCCACTGTGGGATTCGTCGCCTCGTCGTCCGAGAGATCTGAGGCGCTGTGAGCACTGTTCGGCTGATGATTGCCACCGCCGTGGATGTTGTGCTTCTTCTGGTGGCGCAGCATGCTGTGCTTCAGGGTGAACTTGCGCTGGCACACGTCGCACTGGAACGGCCGCTCGCCGGAGTGCGTCCGCATGTGGCGCCGGAGATCCTCGGTGGACCAGAAGCGGCGCATGCAGAAGGCGCAGATCACCTGGAAAAGGACGAGAGTATTGTTGCAATGCCTCTCCTCAATCCCACTTTAGTCTTCTTCCTTACCTTGCGATTCGTGTAATCCGGATACTTTCCCTTGGCCTCGTTCTTCTCGTCATCTTCAGCCGAGGCCGTTTGCGCCTCCGCGTCCGCCTCAATGGCACCCTTGGCCAGCAGCAGGGCGAACTCTTGCGTGTGCATGCCCTTGATGTGCTCCAGGCAGTTCACTCTGTCCGGGAAGGAGCCGTCGCACAGGTGACACTTGAAGGGCAGATCCGAGCTGATCAGCCCCAGCGTCTCGATGGCCGTGGACTTCAGCTGCGGCACGGAGAGATTCAGCGAGCTCACCTCTGCGCTCTCCTTCTTCAACGGCGCCTCCTCGGGCGACTTCGGCGCCGCCTCCTCGACGGATGACGGTTCGTCGTCGCGCGTGATCTTCGTGGGATCCAGTACATCGTCGATGGGCACGTACAGCGACATGGCGGACTCTACGTTGCCGTGCTTCCGCAGCAAGTGGCGGTCGCAGTTGCTCTTGGTGGTGAAGAGCAGCGGGCAGTGCGAACACTTGAAGGGCTTCTGGCCAGTGTGCGTGAGGATGTGGCGCCGCAGGGAGCTGGACCACGGGAACATGCGCTGGCAGTAGGGACAGGAGACGCGATTGGGCGCCAAACTGTAAGCGGACTTCTTCTTCTGCTGCACAGGCGACGGATTGGGATCGTCGGTGCCCGAATTGTTGCTCTCAGAAGCACTTCCTGACGCCACCAAGCCTTCCTCATCGCTGTGATCCTGGGCATTGGGATCGGATCTGCACAGAAAACGTCAAATATGAGCACAACTTTTGTCGTGAGATTCATGGGCAAATTATCAGAATTCAACTCACCTGAAGTAGTTTCCAAAAGCCATGGGATTCGTGGCGTTGTCCACCAGTTTGGACACCGACACGAGATCTCCCTCTTCCTTCAGGTTCTCCTTGTTGAAGCCCTTCGCTCCGTTCTCTGTCTTCACGCCAATCTTGCCGTTGGAGTCGCGCGCATCCGACGAGACGGTCTGAGCAGGAGAAGGCTTCTCGGTCGTTGTCTTCATCGCCTGCTCCAGGATGTTCTCTGCAACTTTCTTCGCCGCCAAGATCTGCTCATCGACCACTTTCTGGGGCTGCAGCTGGGACAAGTCCTCGGGCTGCGAGTCCTCGTCGATCACCAGTTGCGGATCCTCCTCTTCGTCCTCCACGTGACGACTGCTGGGCCTCGACGGCACGCCGCTCACCAGTCCGCTGGGCAGATTGGGCAAGAAGGGCATTTTGGCGCCGGAGTCCCTGCTCTTGAGCTGCTGCGCCAGGATGGCGTACTTCACGTGGTCGGAAATCGCCCCGAAAGTGCCGCCGGAGGGCATCGGGGCGGCCGCCATGGGCGACGACGGCACAGCGTGATTGTTCGTCTGCGGCGTAGTTGGTGCTTGAGTCGGCACACCGCCGCGGCGCATCATGTTGTGGCCACTTCTCTGCCTCTGCGCCCAGAACTGTGGATGCTGCTGCTTGATGTGGCGCTCCATGTTGGAGCGCAGCGTGAAGCGCGCCGAACAGTGCTCGCAGGCGAAGGGCCGCTCGGTTCTGTAGCGTCTCTGCTTCTGCTTCGGCATCAGTACGCCATTCTTGATCACCATCTTCACCGGGCCGGTGGACTGGTGCGGCGGCGGCGCGTGAGACATCTGCGGTGGCTGCTTGGGTGACAAGTCCCTGCTCTTCGCCGCGCTGCCGTGATTGGCGGCGCCAGAGCTATTCTGGCTGCCCAGGTGATTCCCGAGCGGCGGACTCGAGGCCGCCGCCGTGAACATGGGATTCAGCAGGAGTCCACCGGCCGGCCCGGCCTGCAGCACGTCCTTGGGTGGCTGGAAGAAGTTCTTCATGTCCATCATGGGATTGGCGCCGGACGCCTGGCCCATGAGGCTGTTCTGCAGCAGGAAGTGCTGCAGCGGAAAGCCGGGCGGGAACATGGCCAGGTTGCGATAGAACTGCTGGAATTGGAAGAAGTGGGTGGGATCGATCTTGGAGAAGGTCTCATTGAACAGCTGTTGCTGGGCGAAGAGCATCTGTTGGCCCGCCAGATCGATCTTCGGCTGCGGCGACGGCGAGTCACGGGCGTCCTTCTCGTCGCGCGACGACGAGCTCTTCTTGCTGAGGTCCAGCGCATCCATGGACAGATCGACGGGCTTTCCGCCCTCGCGCACCTCCTCCTTCGGCTCGTCCTCCTCCTCATCCTCATCCTCCTCCTCGTCGTCGTACTTGGACGCGTGGATGAGCTTCTCGAGGCTCTTCACCTGGATCTTCAGCGGCTTCTCCATGGGTAGCATCGTGGGCAACAGCATCTCTTTCAGATGCGACACGGGCGTGCTGGTGCGATCTTTGGACATGTGATCGTCATCGTCAAAGTCGGGCGAGCCGAAGAGCTGCAATTTCTTCGACGGATCATCACAGCTGGAGTCTTCAGATGGATGATAAATAATTGCGCGTTTCACCTCTTCTCGCGTGCTCTTCGCGTGCCGATTGCGCAGGTGACGCTCACAATTGGCCTTTGTCGTGAACGCATAATTGCACATGGCGCACTCATAAGGTCGATCACCGTTGTGCGTCCTGCTAATACCCCGAAAAGACAAGAGAACATCGTCAGAAACATGGGCCAAAACGGGCGGATGAGAGGCACACAAAGGAGATTGAGAAAAGCCAAGACGACCGAAATGCGCTCCACATACTTTTTTACGCGCACATAAAATGTTGGTCAGAGATCTTCAGGGGCTGCGCAGTGCAGCAAAAATTGATTTCAAACAGACAAATTACCAAGGGGGAGATATTACAGTAAGGGAATTGGTAAAAATTGCTGCTTTCCCTTCGTGAAAGCAACTATTTAACTAATTGACGCAGGAATTTAAATTCTTCTTTAAATGCTGAAAAACCCTCTTAAAAACTCAATCGTCGTGATTTTTTGTGACTGGTTCTAACCCCCAAAAATATAATAATTTTTTCGATTAGATAGGAGAAATTTCTTCAGTTCAAGAACTTTTTTTTTCAATTTCTGAAGAAGATTCAGAAGGGCGAGAAGGAAAGTGTAGAATTCTACCATATTATCTCCCCCTTGGAAAATACACAATTGCAAATGACAAAAAACCGCTTGAAGGCCGTGGCTGATCTCGGAATGCACGCTAAGGCTCAGGTCAGGGACTCACCTCATGTGGCGGATGAGCGCGGCCTTGTCGTGGATGGAGTAGGGACACATGTTGCAGCGATAAGGACCCGCACCGGCGGCGCTCAGGTGGATGCGGTTGTGGCCCTTAAGCGCCCTCAGGTTGGGAAAGACGGCCGTGCAGAGCTTGCACGGAAACTCGCCGCGCAGCTTCATCTTGCGGAACTCCGCCGTGAAGGCGTCCTGGGCCTCCTCTTCGTCCTTGCTGGAGCCCAGCGACAGATTGAGATCAATGGACTTGGCGGGCGCCGGTCTGTCCAGCTGGCGCAGAAACTGCCCCGAGGACGTGACATTGATGATGGACTGAATGTCGGCCAGGTCCTTCGAGTCCTGGTGGTGCATGGGCGTGCGCAGCATCTCCTCCTTGATGTCCATGTGATCGGAGGGCGACGGCGACACGGACGACTGCGGCGTCACGGCGCCGCTGGACGTGGTGGACGTTGTGGTGGTCATCGATTTGTTCTGCAGATCCAGATTGGCGAAGAAGTCATCGCGCTTCGCCTCCTCCTCGCTCGTCTCGCTGTTCTGCCGATTGCGGCGCACACTGAAGTCCTGGACGCTCTCGCCACACTCCTTCGTGTGAATCTCTACGGCCGTGGCGCAGGGGAAGGCGCGATAGCACTTGGAGCACTCGAACTTCTGGCTCGCGATGGGCGTGCGGATGCTCTGCTCGCACACCGACTTGGCGATCAGCGGGAACTTCTCGGACGAGAAGTCCACGAAGGTGAGATCCTTGAAGCCCTGCATGATGTTCTGCGAGCGACTGGCGCTGCAGCGGTGCGCATTGAGCAGCTTGTAGCTCTTGAACACCACGTCGCAGCACCGGCACTTGGCCGGCACGTCCGGATGCTTCTGGTCCATGTGCGCTTCCAGATGCACCATTGAGGAGAAGTTGTTGAGATCGCACACCGGACAGCAGAAGCTCTGCGACACGATCTTCGTCGCCGGCTCGATGTTGTTGTTGTTGATCGTGCGAATCTTTCGCTTGAGATGATTCGGCGCCACGTCCTCGATCTCGCTGCTCTTGCGCTTCCCGTCCGGGCGCTTCTGGTAGTTGTTGTTGCTGCTGCCGCTGGAGTCCGTGGAGCCGTCACTCTCGTAGCTCTCGCCCTCACCGCGCTGCTTGTGGGTCCGCATGTGCCTGTGCATGTTGCCGTTCGTCGTGAACGTCACGTGGCAGTATTTGCACGTGAAGGGACGCTCGCCAGTATGGACCAGCACGTGACGATCGAGAGATGAGGCCGACGAGAGCACCTGCGCGACAAAAGACAATCGATTACAGGTGAACAGCGCAAGAACAAAAATCATTTCCACCCATTACTTATTCCTGACCGAATTCTAACCAGAACATACCGCCTAGCTTTGCTTTTGCAAGGTTTTGAAAGGGATTTTAGTTTTTTTTTCACAGTTATCCATGATTGAGCGTCAAAAAAAACAACCAAATTTTTATAGAAACCGTCGCGAAATTTCTGTGATAACGTTTTTATTTGGTAGTTTATTTGGTCGTGACTTACTTTCCCACGCAAATAAACTTTAGGAATAAAGCTAGAGACTTCTCTAAGCCTAAACATCGAGTTGATCTGCTAATCTTTTCGATTGCCAGTGGAAATTTCCCACCCATTTCCTCACCGCACGCGCCCAATGATCGTCCAAGAGCACGGAACGCACGGAACAAAGAGAAAATGAAGTGATCTTGCTAACGCCATATTTTGAAATCAATAAAAAATTGGGATTTATACGTTGTGGCGCTCTTTGGTGAGATCGCGCAATGGAACAAAGTGTCGGTTTCCATCTCAAGGGGAAATAAATTTCTCATCTTACCTTGGAGCAGAGACGGCAGGTGAAATTTTGGGAGTCATCGCAATTGTTGTGGCCTCGGATGTGTTCAGTGAATTCATGCTGCGTGTCAAGGAGAGAATCGCAAATGGGACAAATGTACTTCTTGTCCTCACCCATTGACAATTTGCCAATGCTCTCGCTCGGCGCCCTCTCGCCGGGGCTCAGATTGCCGCCCACCTTGCCCTCGGCCTCCTCCGGCCGCTCCTCGAAGCCGTACTGCACACTGTTGTTGTTCTTGCCGTAGCGATGCTTCTTCCGCATGATCATGATGCTCGTGTCCATCTGGCGCAGGCCATCACGCCGCACCACCGTGTGACTCGTGTACTCAGTCTCGGAGTCGTTGCTATGCTCCGTGTCGTTGTGATCGCTGCCCAGCTTGTTAGACGCCGCCGTGGACGACGCCTCGGTGCTGGAGTTGGCCGTGCGATTGATGGACGAGCTCACGTCCATCGGCTCCACGGAGGAGTCGGAGTTGCTAGACGAGCGGCGCTCCGGCGTGCGCGCAACCGCGCAATTCATCTGCCCAGGCATGCTGACCGGAGGAGGAGCGGGAATTGAGTTGGTGGAGTACTTCCGCAGTTGTCGCTTCATTCCGTCCTCTCTTCTGCAATGGGAACCAGAAAGAAAAAGTGCGATGAGCAACGCGTTTGCCTTATTTGCAAGATGCTGAGATTTCCTTGCACAGTTCATAAAAAAAGAAATGATGACCAATCATGTGCCAACATCTGCATAATTCCCATAAATCAGTTTCACCTTCGCTCTGAATTTATCTAGCAAATACCACGGAATTTCGCCGAGATAATTTACGAGTTGATGAGAGCAAAGCTCTTCTGCTCGTGTCGAAGTCATCTATGCGCGCCCGAGATGAAGGTACGAAAACACAAATTTTACAGCGACACAAACACAACATCATGCTGATGTTGGTGAGATAAAGATTAAAAGCGCTAATAACATTTTCTTTCTGCCCTGATACGACAAAATCTCCTCCAAAGTCAGGTCTGGCGGCATTATTCTCTTATCTCGCCTCACCTCATTGCTCTCCCGGCTCATTGTTCTCGCGAACAGAGCGCGATCATCATGTATCGGAAGATATTTGAGTGACAGAGCGAGAGAGCGCTTTTTTCGGCCACAATGGATGGGATTTTATCTCACTTCTGTCCCGCTTTTCTGCGTCGTCACCAAGTGCAATTTCCTCAGGTGAGATGAGAACACTTCCGCAGATGAATCACACCTCTTCTCGCGACAGAACGATCATTCTCGTGTTGTCTTTGAGTCAAAAAATGAGTGTTTTTCTCTCTTCTTTTGCTCATCGATAAGTGCGGATTTTTTATCATGTAATCTCACCCCAGACTTGCAATATCAAATATCTCAGCACGCTTTATCGGGGATCAATTGAGATGAGATCATCAATTTTCTCGAGATATCGAAGAAAGGCTGCAGAAGACAAGCGAAGGAATTCATTGAATGTCGATCTCTCATGTTTGAACAACATATTTATGACTGTGTTTCTCCAGAGAATCATAACACACCAACTCTTTTAATGATGTTATGCAAATAGGAGAGACAAGAAATCATAGGGAATGCCTTTGATTATTCTCATGTGTCACGTCTTTATCTGGTGCGCTCTTTCTCATGTGCTCCTATTTCAAATATTGATAAAAGGCGTCGAAAAATTACCTTTAATTCAGATTCTCTCGCACAAGGCGAGAAGGAAAAAAAACCCCGTTGATAGAAGTGAGCATAAGAAATTATATAATTCCACACACGTTGATGGCAAAAATACTTTTAATTAATTGTGTCTTCTCTCTTCTATTCCTTTTATTGGAAGAAAATCACCTCGAAATAGTTCTAAATGAAATTGACACACAAATCCAACATGAAATCCACCGTGAAATTACAAGTTTCGCGTTACTTTTTTGCAAACACACATTTTCGAGGTGCAACACCGGAAAATGTGTGCTTAGGGATTTCCCTAGGTGCGAAAGAGGTTGGATTTCTGTGTCGCCAAAAAGCTCACAAGCGCGCACACACATTTTCAGGCATGAAGATGCGAAGAGGGACATTTTTCACATGCTAACCAATGATAAATGTTGGGCCTGTGAACGCCAGAGGCACGTTTATTCCCTCCCAATCGTATTTACTTAATGATTCTGGTTATCAGGAGGTGAAACGGTGAGAGTTGCACGTGTGGGGCAATGTCGGGAGGAGATGTGACACATCCAGGTAAAACTCCACAAATGTGACACCTCGGAGCGGAATTGTGTAAATACGATTGGGTGTGGTGTTTGTGCTATTTTTCCACCGCTTAATATCCTCCTTTCATTCGCCCTGACTGATATTTTTCATCCACTTTCGGTTACGGATATTTCACGAGAAATCTTCTGGCGCGCAGATAAATTTATACACAATCATTGACATTTTCCTGGAACATGAGACGCGCTTTAGCAACCATATAATCTTCGCCAGCCAATTGCTCTGATAACACAGACACGCCGAGAGAGGTGTGATGATTGCAAAATGATGTGAAATGTCGCTTGAGAAATTGATCAGAATTTTTGTGATGTGATAAATCAAAGAATCAACTTCTTGTTGTCTCTCTTATCATCACACATCGCGCGCGGTAAAATTCCCAGTGATTTTCCCATGAATTTCTCCGTATGTCACCAAACATTATGAGATCATGCGAGATCGAACGGCTTTTTTTGGGGGATTCTATTTGCTAATCGACCCAGATAAACCCCTTTTCTCTCCCCAAACAAATCTCACACGTTCACCTATCTCGCTCTCCTTATCAACCCCAACGCGGTTAAATCATTCTTTATTATTATTCTTGGGAGCAAACATCATTTCCCAGTTCGTATTTTTCCCCTTCACAAGTCAAAGCTCAAAAGCTCAGAGCAAAAAGCTTCTTTGTATCGCATTTCATCATTATTATTGGTGTGTTTTGAAAAAATTCTCAATGCCGCATTAAAATCACATTCCATCCAATTTATAATGTGAACTCGCAAGGAGGAGATAATGTGGCTCAAAAATGTACGTAATTTCCTGGGCGCTTTCTCAGAACGAATAAAATGGATTTCAAAGAAAAACGTCAAAGCAATTTTCCTAGAAAGAAATAGTCTAATTCTCATCAATATATCTCCCCCTTGTGAATTCCAGTATTTGATGAACGCAGAACAAAATCGCACAACGTGATAAGACACAAAGTCTGAAACTTCCCAATCTCAAGGATTTCTCGTGCAGTCAATTTTCTGTGACTGTGATTTTGAGGAAGTTATGAGAATGGAAAATATATTAATTCTCAATTTCAACAAGACGTTCTATTTCATTTTATAGACACATTGCGTGACTTCTTGGTGGAATTGATATAAAAATTTCAATGAGTTTGTATTGAGGGAGGGAAAAAATATCTGTCTCACAAAATGTGGCGCGTAAAAAGAGATCATGATTCATGATCTCTCATCACAAGAGTTTTGTCCGAATTTTGTTCATCAATAGTAGCGGTGAAATCGCAGTGAAATTCGATCTGTTTGTCCGCGATGTAGAACTTTAATTATATATTCATCAAACTGTGTGTGTATGTTGAACACTTTTCCAGCTTCACCTGAATTTCCAGCGATAGCGCCTAGACGTGGAAAAATGATACGCGGAGAAAAGTGTTTGTTTTCTGGGCATGCGATGAAATGCGCATGCACTGAATATATCCCAGGGAAAAACGCCCCAGAAGATACTCTCCGCACTTCAAGCTGGAGGATTAATGGGCGGGGGGCCGCTCGATGGTGGGTTTTGTGGATTTCAGCGCATTCGATATCTGTTGGTGGCGAGGAAAATCTTTAGTTAAACACTGCGTGACACATACAGCGCGTCTCATTGATAAGGAATTGATGATTGGGACCGCGGAAAAAATCATGAGATTGAGAGATTTCCACTGAAGGTGATTTTGATGTCACACACACGCATTCCTCATGATCTTTTACGTAAGGCGCGCGCGTTCACGAGATGAGGAAACATGCGGCGGTGGTCATGGCGAATCGATAGAGAGGAGCTCCAGCTCAACATCCGGTGGCAGTTTTTCATTCCCCCCAAAAATTCCACCCACTAAATGCGCCGCGACTCTCTGTGTCGCACCGCGTGATTAAGACGAAAGAACAGAGGAAAAAAAGAGAGCCGATCATGGCGCAATGCAGGCAACAATTGAGGCCCCAATTGATCTGCAAGTCACACACAGGCAATTTTTTAAATACCTCTCTTTTTCAGTCTCTGCCTCCTTTCCAAATTTCGCCGCTTCACACCCACTTATTGGCCACTTTTGTCTCACGTGAAAATCTATCGAATCTCGCGTTTTTTACTGTTCACACCTCTTTAGTCACTGCGAAACCAATCTCTTGGTCAATCTCGCGCTTTGTCGCCACAAAATGCTGTTGAACTTCAACTTTTAAGGCTGTGTCCGAATGTGCGACTGCTCAGGAGGATCGCCAGGAATGCAAGTGAAGAAGGGCTTGTCGAAAAAACCATAGCTTCTCCTCTCTCTGGCTAGAGGTTTATGCAAAAAAGGACGGATAGATAATGATGCCATAAACGGGGAATTTCATCTCAATTGCGTCCCATTCGAAGGTGATTGGAAAGCATTCCGGCGCCCATGGCTAATGAGGGTGTTAGAGTCTGGCAAAGAGTCCGGAGAAATCCACAGGTATCTCTCGTCCTAAACATCACCATCTTCAGGGGCATTCTTTGTACTTCTGCAGAGCATTTAAATTCCAATCACGACCAAATTATTTAATCCTCTGGAGTCGATTTATATGTATTCCATACAAGGAAGCATTTTTAAAAATTCGTTTTGCAGAATTTGCACACAACTTAGCTATTCTCAAGAACATTTTTTTCTTGTCTCCTAAGGGTTAAAGAAATATACGGATTAATCCGATTCATCAACGCTTTTGATTGTTTTTTGTCAAAGTGCCTTTCAAATATCAACTAAAACATGAAGTTTTTGGAGATGAAAAAAAGGTCTAGAAAGAGGAAATTTTGTGCCCAACAAGTTAATGGCAAACCGAAAATCTACTCAAGAAGTCATTGCCGAAGACCTGAATGCAAAATTGCTTCTGGGGAAGGCAAGGTTTGGGCCTCACCCGAAGGAGAACAAGTGAGATGCAAGGTGTTGAGGCCGAGACTGGGGATGATGGGCAGAAATGCGCAACCTTGGGCTGGGAGAGTAATTTGTGATGGTTTCTCGGAATGACTCGAGTCAACTGGTATTTGTCCACCTCTCGAGGTCTCCACACAAACATGGCAAGATGATCACGTCGATTGGATGGGGAGAAATTGAACGCATTTTCAGAGCTCTTCGCTCTCTCTCGCCCCAGCGTTGTCTCGTCATTCTGCATGACCACGAAGCGCTCCTCCGTGGATGTTTGCAAGAGGCGCAAAAGGTGAGTTTTGTGTGTGACCCTGTCGGTTGGCATGGAGACCAATCAATAGATTCAAAACGAGCCCACAAAGATTTTTCCATGGTGCTTTTCTCTATTCTCTCCTCTCCTGGGCAATGCGGTTCACCCTCCGCCACACCCTCCACTCCCCATCTCACTCTCACTCGCGCTCTGGCCG